AGATTTTTATTGGACTTGGGAAAGAAGCCCAAAGATTATGCAAAAAGAAAAGGAAGAATATTTAGGGGGAAGAAAAGAAGACTTTGACCCTGAGCTTTATGAAAACTTGGAAGAAGGAAGTTCAAAGGGGGAATTGGCAATAAATATAGTTCCTAGGATTGAGATGAAAAAAATTTTGACTTTCTAGTGAGGGAGCTTGGACAAAAAAAGGTAAACCTATAGGTTCTATGGAAAATGAAAGATTAGCTGCCAAACTCAATGATCCTGAGGGCTATGGTAAAGAGTGAGGTAAAAAAGATGAAAATAACAAAGTAACTGAATTAGAAAATGAATTGACTGAAACCAAACAATGATTAGAAAAAGAAAGAAAAGGCAACACAAATAAAATATCTCTTCTATGATTAATACCAGCTATCTTAATAACATCAGGGATAACAGCCCTAGTATTTTGGATGCTAAGAAGGAAAAAAGCTCCCCAATAATCAATATCAAAAATGAGTATTTTAAATCTTTGGTTCCATAGTGGACTTAATGTAAATTAGTTTTATATTATAATTTTTTATATAGGGACAATCCTATATTAATCATGTTATGGTTTATATTCATCACATTCTGGTATGATTATGATAAAGTGGGCATTAAAATTAACAAGTCCATAAGTTATGAACGTTATTACTTTTCAAAACGTCATCAGTCATGCTGGTCAATTTTACAGCTGCATCATAATCAGCCTCTCATTTATGTCACATAATAGAATGTTCACTTTGTCTGAGCATGCCCCAAATAACAAAAGACAAATTTTATGTCACAATAAAATGTGGCTAATGGATGCATTATCAAGACTAATCAGAGAATGTTCTTTCTTGAGTGAAGTTGGATGTTACAAACCATCAAAGAAGAAAAGAGTATTCAACCTCAGACCTATCTTTGACAATTCATCTATTGTCTTTGAGATTACTGTCATTATTGATTGTCAAAGTGCAAGGAACCTTGACCTTCTCATTGAGTTCTCGTTTCGCGTATGTTTATGTACAATAAAATGACGTATATAGTTCAGCTCACATGACACAAAAATTCCCCTTGCGTGCTCTTCACATGACCCCGATTTAACGATCTACTGTACATGTAACTTCTTCGTTCCCACGATAAAAACATTGAAGCACCACTAACAATGGCATTCGTATGCACATTGATAGTCGTTTATGCATACATACAGAATTCTTTCATCGAGTGCATATTTCTGGATTCACACCTGTTTCTTAACTAAATCCAATCTACTCATTTATGGAAGGGTCTATCCTTACATTGATTATTCAAGTCTATTGTGCGTTAGAAAACAATCTTGCCAACAAAACTCACTTTCCGAGGGCGAGCAACCAACCTCTGTTCAAAAAGGCTTCACCGGCATTCTTCATTGCGATATCTGTTGGCAAAGATTTCCATTCGCATATATGAGTAACAACATTGGGGGGGGGGCATTTGGAACATATAATAAACCTTATTGACCATCATTGCCAACACGGATGTGGAGACGGGGATTGTGGGGATTGGCGGGAGTTTTTTCCTACGTTCATTCTTCTCTGGCGTACTTCTTGCATTGGATGTTGTAGACACAGCGCCTTCTTACGTATTCGTTGCATCCATTGCATGCACTGGACTAATTTATCGTGTCCCCTGTACTTTCTTTGCCGTAGTGGTTCTATTCTCGTGGTTGTGGTTATAAGACTGCTTGCATTAATTGGACGATGTTCTTGGGGGTAAAATGTTGTGGAGGGAGTATGCTTGTATGTGACAATTGATTTTTATCTGATTGGATGACGTGAGTGATAATTGGCTAATAATGATCGTATAATACTGAGCTTAACCTAAATCCAGAACGAAACAATAACTAGCAAATAATGGATATTGGACAGAGTTTATCACTGAATGTTGTCTTATTTACTGTAATTGTTATTGTTGTAACCAAACGTTCTTTATTGTTATTGTTGATCTTTGTCGCCATTTAGCGTATGTTTGTTACATTGCCGTCTGTGAATTTCTCGTCAATGCTAAATAATAGTTGCAGGAGAGCATTATACGCTGATTGTATTTTAATTCATGTACATGTGAATATCAGCCTGAATAACAATAAACAATTCAGGAGCAGATATGAATTATCACTGCGCATAGTTCCATGTTTCCATCGTCAACTATCTTCTGTTCAATGATGACCCTTTCTTGTTCGGCTTCAAGGGGCTCACACCCTCCGATGCAGTGTTCAAATGAACAATTCATCATGCAATATGAAAGTTGCCCACCAAAATTCATTCTGCAAAGGGAGATCAACATTGAGTCACAATCAATGACTCATTAATGTTGATCGTAATAACGACTTTTTTTTATACAAACGTCACAATAACATTACAATATTTATCACTTACAATTACAATAGAAGAATGCCTTTGTATGTTACATATTGTTTATGTCAATAGTTTCAAAAGATAGAACTACTAAAAGAATGCTGCAGCTGCTATGGCGCTGCTGTCTCAATCGTTAGACGCTGATTCACTCTCCAATCGAACCGTAACATTAAATCTAGATATATACATGAAAGTTTTTCTCACCAGGGAAAAAAAAAACCTTGAATTCGGCGATGTATTCCATCTAGGTTGAAGACTAAGATTAGGTAATGCAAATGACCGACGCTTCCAACTCCTGAACTCCTTAAAATACGATTACGTTATTTGCATATTATAACAATTCCCTTTCATCCTACACTATATATAGTCTTTTCAACATGTTAATCCATTACGTCCTTGTCCTTTGTCCAACACATTCGTACACGTTCTCGGTAGAATAATCACATCCCTACAGAGTAAATGGCAGTGTGCTAGCATTGCGACGATTTGAGCATCTTTTTAATTTCACTCTTTTTCTTTTATCCGGTCTTTCTCGTCATTTGAATTCCTTCTCCCTTATCTCTGCAAACACCAATCGCGGGCAATTCCGAAAGTATTCACGAAAGACTCGAGCAATAATCCAATTGAGTTTATGAGTAGGACACAGACTTTATATCATGAATTGGTGTGCCCGCTCTGTTGCGTGAAGTTTGCTTTCCGTCCTTGTAAATAGACTTAGTAAACGAACTAATTCATCGTATCGGATATGACGTATTAGTATTTCTCACTTCTACACTAACTTTATATCTGCACATCTTCGTTTATAAAAATCTCCGATTGGCATGTTGACCCTATTCCTGTATCAGCCAATAGACTTTTAGGGGTGAAGTAGAAAGCAAAAACTTACAAGCGATATAGGTAAAGACAAATACTATTATCAATTGCAAATTAAGCACCTAAAAACTCCATTGTGGCTACTGCTATGATCCAATGCTGATTTCAGATGATAACGAACGAATGTTAGAAATGAACATACTAAATCTACTTCTTATAATCGAATTCGTCACAGTGAAAACGCCTGAATTCTTTAGACAGAATACGAGGCGTTTGACGCCTTCGCATGCGCAAATAAAACCTGATTTAAGATATATGATGGGCGTAACTGGTTGAATGGGGAATAAGAAATGGGAATATGACATTGTTGAGAAAAAATAAATATGTTACAGAAACATTATACGTTGTATATTGCATTCGATCACATACAAAATATAAGGGAAAATTAAAAATTTAAGTGCGCCTTTCTTCTGTTTGGGAAAGACGACCACTTCTTTGTCAAGTCGGCGTTGTATAATTGAAAAATTGCACATGTCTAGTTTCTAATTTCGTCATTCAATTTATATCATACGTGCGCATTCTCATCACATTTGCACTCCCACGTTTATTAAAACAAACACAAATGCCAGAATCTTTGTATGTACGTAATCAAATGTTTATCTTTTGGAGGTAATCGAAGCTTACAGACGCAATGCTGCAATTGGAAAGGGTTATTCAGGGCATTCAGGTGGGTAAGAATAGTATGAGGCTGGCGTACAAGCGTAACCCCAAATAACAACCGATGCTTTGTTATTTTGACACGTTAATTAATTAAAGTTCTTAAGACAACGAAGCTTCTATTTTATTCTTCTTTTCGACCGGTTCCCTCGTTTAAAGTATTTTCAAATACCAAGTATATACATTACACCATACGTGCAATCCCCAAATCTTAAACGTATTGGAAGCAAAGAATCTATACAGAAACTCGGTCCCTCAATAAACAATTGGAACATTCGACTATACTATAACAAACCACTAAAAATGTCAAAATCCAAATGGATGTGACAATAGCCCTAAAAGGTTGATGCTTAAAATATTGTTCACACGTTCGTCCTTACTCTCAACATGAGATTATATTCCCAGAGAAATGTCACCAACATGTCAATTATTGACATCACCCGAAAGTGTCATTTTATTGTTATTTCTAACTCTCAATTATTTATTGCAACTACAATTAGTATTCAGTTTATTAAATTTTTTTCTTAATTCAAAATCCTAAGAGAAGCTATCGATACGAAAAAAAGAGAAACGGATTTGGGAATGAATTTACACATCACGGAGCTCGAACCGAGCCCACAAACGTCCGACTTTAACTACAGTGTTCGAGAATATAATATTCTTGAAGCGAAAAAAAAAATAAGAGGAAAAATGTGAAGTCACGTAAGCTATACATACAACCGAGTCATTATTATAGACCCGAATCCAAATGTTCCTTTTCAGAATGAAGTTCTTACAATAATTGGAATCCACAAAATATTGAAAACTACTAAAGATATGACAGAAGACCTACAAGTTCTGCGTTCTTTCTTCATGGAAGTTATCCAACAAAGTTGTCTTTTTAAAACCACGACTGTGTGCCCAAGTGTCCAAGGATACAAAAAAAAAAAAGAAAGAAAAAAGAAAGAGAAAAAAGAAAGGAGAAAGACAAACAAACCACAAATGAGATTTGATAAGTTTTTCTAGCAAATACACATTTCTAATCTAACTCTGAACCCAGGCCCCCCACCAATACACTCTCCGATACCAATCTTACTTTCTTCTCATTATATCTCTCTCGTCCGCCTTAATCCAACCCGCTAGTACGAAAAACTCCCACAACTTACTCGCCTTGTTAACATCAATATGTAATAACTTTTGCGCATCTGATTTTCTAAACGGCTGCTCTCTCTGTACATATCTGTTGGCAGTCGATACGAGCGTATATTTAGCATTGAAATACTGTAATGGGGTTAATCTCAACACTGAAGCCACAGACGCTTCGGAAGGATGCATGGAGTTGTAATGCGGCAATGTCGTGATATTTAAAGGAGATCCCTTCCAAGTAATTCCATGATTCTGTACATTGATACGTACTTGGTCTAAACCCAAGTTATCGATTGCGGCTTTCAGATCGTGCCATTCCATGGCTGGAGGTGCAGGAGCTTTGGATACACGGACAGTAGCACTTTCTCGTGTCGACGTTGATGTGATGCCCTCGGTAAACGTTTCACCGTTTTCTGATTGAGGCGATGAAGTTGTATTCGAACTGTGGTCAGATGAGATGTGAGAAGACGTTACCGATATCGATGCACGATCGGCGAGTACACGTGCCATACTGTTTGACTTCTTCTTTCGTTGCACTTTATCGTATGGAATCGGTCGCTTCTTTTTAGTGCGACGGCGTGAAAGCTTTTTCTGTTCTTGTTCCAATTCCCTTTCTTCGTCAGACAGAATTGGTCTTGGAGAGTGTGGTCGAGGGTCTTCAATAAATTTCAATTCTTTTAGATTTCGCTCTAAAAATCCACGGGGGTCTTCATTATATAGACCATATACAGTTGTCGCGGGTGGAGTGGGTGGATGATGAAGCCCTTTTGTTGGCTGTTTACTAGGCGATCGCATTGGGTATGGATTTTTGCGACGACCCCCACAGTCTGGACGTCGTCTGACTGCATGGGATAGTGTACATAGTTGGTGGTGATGTTGGTGTTGTTGATGGTGTTGATGGTGTTGATGTTGATGTTGATGATATTGTTGTTGATGCTGGTGTGGCTGTTGGTGGTGTTGTTGATGTTGATGTTGATGTTGATGTTGCTGTCGGTGTTGCTGTTGGTGCTTTTGTTGTAGGGAAGGTTGATGCGTTTGATCGTCGTCTTCCCGGAGTAAAATTCGAATTGATTCTGGAAGATCTTTGAGCAAATATCTCGCTCCAAGAACTGTTCGCACTGGAGCTTGAAAGGTAGTAGTGGCGGGCGTGACAGGTATTGATGTTATTGAGTTTGGTGTAGCTATTGTCAAGGCTGTCGTGGTTGAAAAAGACAAAAGTAGAAAATGGCGTAAATATCTCGTTGATGAAATAAGAGCCCATTGTCTAATGGTAATAGAATATTATTATTGTGTCGCTTTGTTACTTGTCGTCATTCTCTATTGTCGTCGCAATTTATATGATTAACCCTGTAATGCTTGGCCGATTTCATATGTTTGTGATTATCATGTATCCATCCAATTATATGTCACCAATTATATACATACAATATAATATACTAATATGCTAGTGTTATCAATACATTAACAATAGCATCCATTTTGCCGTTCTATATACAGATCATCGAGACACATACCTGTGGTTTCCTCCTTCTTACTCGAACTCTCAGTAGGGTTTAATATGAATGAAAGATCCGTGGGTGTTTGTGGTGGAGACATTGGTCCTTTGTTGTTTCCGTGACATTCTGTCATGTGAGTGTACATTGGCTTAAGTACAAATGGATAGCAGCAAAGGCTACAAAGTGAGTAGGATTTGTCGAGTGGAGCGTATAAGTAGTGTGTGTATGGGTTTATGGGTGTGTGTTGGAAGGGTGCTTAACTGAATGGGTGAATTGAAATTCAACGTAGTGTGTGTATAGAAGTTTTTACCGTTACAGTTCTTAATTACTTTCAAAATTTATGTTTTATGTGCGTATATTGTGTCTGGCCGTTTTGAAGTGAGAGAGGTCTGTTGGGGGGAGGAGTCAAGTATATATATATTTTAGTGTATGTATATATTAGAATAGACAATTTATGTATGTGATAATAATAATATGTATGTGATGTGATGTCTCGATATAGTAGTAATATATAAGTAAAAGGCGTTGTTGAATGCTTATTTATTAGTGATACGCACAACTTCAAATTCTCTTTATTTTTATATTGACGTAGTATTCATTATCAAACTATCATGGCAGTCACTGTCGGCAACTTCATATATAGGAATCAGTGACTTTCAATTGGAACAGTAAATTGGATAACCTCCATTATGTAGGGTGTAATTAGAATATATTCATACATTTATATAGGTAACATGTGGACAGTGACGATTGAACGTCGACCGCTGTAGTTGCTGTCAAGTTGTATGAATGGGTTAATGCATTCGTTTATTTTATGCGTATAATGTGTAAGGCTCAGCACATATTTCGCCAAATTTATTTGCCGAAATATCCCATAGGGTGAGTGATATATTCGTCCCATATAAGAGATAGTGTGTATATATAACGTCGTTCTATTTTTTGAATGTTTTTCCCATAATTTGTGTAAAGCATAATTATAATTGCACTAAATATAACCGTTATTATTATTATTTAATATCGCTATTGATTCATTATTATAGCCCACCGTAGCAGTTTAGCATGCTTGTTTCGCTCTCATTTATTGTTTGCCCCATTATTAGTTGAGTTCAATCGTTATTGAGTAGGCTGACTATAATTGTCTTAATGCTTAATGTATTGTCTATTGTTAAAAAACCCGACCAAAACCAATATGGCAACTCGGTGATCGAATGGGGTAAAAGACATAAGCAAACTTTCTTCTATTGACTGCTTATGAGTAAGAGATATAATGCCATGTGGAATGATCGGGACACTGGGTGGTAAGTGCGACGCTGTATATTGAACATATTAAATCAACAGTGGTGGTTGGTTACCACACTGTTACATCCACGACCTTCTTAACCATCATTCTTTGCGGCGTAAGGTTCTTGGAATAAAGAACAATCTATTGTCGCCGCAGATTTTCGTTGCTTCCATTGCTCGCCAAGATGGAACAGCGATACCATTGATAGATTGCAGTAGAAGTACACATAATTGTCTGATTACGTTACGTTTTGAATTTACTTTTGATCTTTATTTGGGTGAATAATGAACAAAAACCGTGGACGGCTCATTGTAAATTAGGCTTGAATTTCTGTTTATACCGACTGCGCCAAGATCAGGTGATATAATGTCTCTACGCAGTATAATATCTGCCGTTGTCAATTGAATTCAACGCTAGGTCCATTTCTTTATCTTGTTTATTGTGTTCATAGAGTCTGACACACTGTATAATCCACTATTTTCTTTTACAATAAATTAGTAATGTACTAGAGACAATCCTATTGGTTACCTTATAAAGCAAAGGGTACGTAGCACACTGATGACGACATTGCTCGATCATTTAACGTCGGGATACCGCGAGTTCTATATCGCCTTACCGATATTGCTTACGGATATCGGACAATAATTATGTAAAATGATATGTTCTTGAGATTAATACAACGTAATAATCTATGTAATACTGAGTTTCATTTTTTCGATTGAGCTGTGATTTATCTATACGCCAAGTAAAAAGTGGCGTGAGGTTAGGCAATTAGTATTTGCTGCCCATGCGACTGTTGTTTGATACACAAATGCGGCAAATGATGGTATGAGTGTCTTTTGCGTTTGAGTATGTGTTACAGCAAATAATGAAACTTGGGTGAATTTGGTCCCTATAGATAATTGATTAAGAAGACGGATTTTACATACACATTTTAAACTATTAAATTGTGTTTATCTTTGTGTTGAGCAAAACTTATCTGCTTATTAAACTATACGTTAATTCCCTGTTCCTTATTATTAGTAAAAATGGTCCATTTTTGATATTTATAATATACAACAAATTGTCATTATATTACTATATTTATTTTCATATTATTTTTCCTGTGCTCTGCATAGACTGTAAGAGGGCCAGATACCTGGCTGAAGAGTAAAAAAAATGAACACTATATACGTGCATTGATGAATACAATTTAAAATTGATTGTAGGGCAAGGTTTCCTTATTTGCTTGACAGAAATAGATCATAACGTGAAAAAATGTATCGATGTGAAAATGGATAAATTTAAACATAATTTGTTATGGATAAACATTGTCAATTCGTTCGAGCCTTCTTTGTGGATGTGCATAGCTTTTACCATATCGTCAACACTGGTAATCTCAAACATACGCAACACGTTCGATATTCCAAACATGATATGCAATACATTCGTTCATGTATCCGCATTTATTTCACAACATCGCACGCTGCCCATCACAATTCGGCCTGCAACAATATTGATTCATTTTGCTTTTTTGTGCAGTAAACATTATTATTGGCGTTAATTAATGCTTTATGCAGAGGAACAGACCATTCCAATTCATTTGACAGGCATTGAGATGGGCGAGTATTGGTGAAGGGCTTACAATGAATAAAGAATAAATAGTTGAAGCGTTATACGAAAATTCATAAGCTGAAACCATCTGACGACAAAGGCTAATGGCCGATAAATTAGGGTTTGGTAATTGACACCTCTGGCAGATGTCATTGGATCATACCAACACACACAGAAAACTTATTGGTGGTGTTTTGAATCAAATTCGATACAGTCACAAACAGTTTTGCGACATGGTTTTGGTGACAACGACAAAGTCCGATCAATTGCTCTCACAAATTAACTTTATCATTCGTATAAATGCACAATCATAAAATCGTATATAATTTCTCGATATAATCATGTGTCTATCATCGTACTAACACTATATGCGTTTTGGTACTTTGGAATAAATTAGTCAAACCATCGTCAATCTACATGCAGCGGTAACACATTCCAAGAATAGTAAACTGTGCGGGAATTACTGAGGAATTCGGAAATGATAATTGAGATTTTGGTAAACCTATTCGATGTTTATAGGAACCGTAGAATGACATGAACAGTCGAATGGATGAATGGATAGATTTGTTACAGCCACATTACACAGATAATGTAATTTCAAGGAGCACCACCCCATGTCCAGTAGCTGATGCTTTGTTTTAATTAGACCATTTATTGTATTACTTACGAGCTCTTTCATGATATAATGCTCATTTCTATCATTTGTCCCTGATCATATGACTTTACGATTTTAATCATCACAGACGATATTCCGATTCTTTGTTCTAACTGACCTACCTCGATCAGCATTAGATTTACATTATGGCAGAAAAATAACAACTTATTAATAAAGTGCTCCATTACTCATTAGTGTATCAGTTATAGAAGTTTAATTAACTTCATTCATTCACTATGATCACATTGTTGCATTACGTCAAATGGACCCCTAATGAACCCCTAATGAATACAAAGTTCTTCCTGACGTAACGCCCAATGAGTAAATGACAGCGGAGGTAAGTGACATACGAAGTAATTCCGCCCCAACTCTGACAAACAATAGCTTACATGAATATATTGTCAATTTGATTTGAACTGACAATCACATGATTTAAGCACCATAACGCGAACAAACGCGCAATTACTAGTAATCAGAATCATGCTCATACACCGTCATCAGGTGGCTCTCAACTGACTACATAAACGCATTGACTCTCAGCTTTTGTCACCCACCTGGAATATAGTTCCACAGCACCTTTAGCGTTCAATCGTAGGTGCAACTAATAAAGGAACGCAATATAGTTCCAAACAATAATTCTTCCATTACGTACGACAACTTGCCTGCTGATGAATACCTCGATTAGATAAAGCCGAAGATTCTCTATTTATATTAATCTGACAATTTTAAACAAACACCCTTTCATCAGGCCATTCCGAAAGAAAACTATGTTTACTTGTGCCCGTAAATTCTGTCCGATCACGCGCCAGATGCAACCACCCTACAATTTTCAATCTCGCCAAAAACTTCGACCAATTCAACATTATCTGTTCCCCAGAATACCAAAATAAGCAGCAGAACAATTGAATTACACAATATGAATCCCTTATTTGCAGTAGTAATTCATTAAATTGAAGAGGACAACTATTGGGCAGAGACTTGTTCGAGTACTGGTATTTGAATAACAAATCAGGAAATATTTAATTGCATACTGAAACTAGTCTTAGGTGGAAACTATATAGCAGAATATTGTAAAAATTGTACGTGCTATTCAATTAAAATCAAACCAGTCTCCAGAAGGCTATTATTTTACGTACCACTGTATTGAAAGATAACAACACATGACAGTTGTTGAGATCCGATTAGAAAAAAAAAGACAGAATGTAGGTTGAAGATTAAACCCTATTTAAAGTATAATGGGTGTAGCCTTACGAGCATCTCTCTCCAGAACTGCTGGGGATCTATCCCGACTTCCGACTTGAAGATTTGCATTCCTTTATTAAATGTCCAACTTTCCGATATCTTTCGACTTGAAAGTATTTCCCTCACCGATTCACGTGTGGCTTTTGGTCTATCTACAGTCTAACCATCAACAGAAATACATTCTTGCCTTGTTATTGAAATTAAGTCACCATTACCAAATTCTCTCACGGTGATAATAATTTCTGACAGAAAGCGTCGAACAATAAAAGCAAGCCCATCTCTAGCGAAAATAATGTAGCAATGCACCTCCCATTAATTATCATACTCGGCAAGACAGGTAGGTTACTTTCGCCATATTACCAGGTAATGTTCGCAATTTGTACTCAGATACACTATCCACCGTTCAATGGCTTGTTTTAGGCGCGGGCAAAAGTACTCTCGGAAATCTACTGCTACACGGAGATTCTGAGGAAGAAACGTTCAAAGTCGGTCATGGGGCTGTATGTTACACCTGTTTAATAAAAAACTATGCTTATGAGTCCCAGGCACAGTACGATAAAATTCAAAATTTGCAATAGGATTCAGGCACGCAAGACTTTGAATCACACGAAGTCGTAATAGAAGATCAGAAGTATTTTATTTGCGACACACCAGGGTTCCTAGATACGCGTGACGATGTCAGCATTGGCAGAACATTTGAAGTTTTCAGGCAGAACCTCCAATCGATAAGCGAAATCAAAGCGTTTTTGCTTGTGCTGGGTGGGATATCTGTTGCAGAATTACAATTGAGAGTAAGATGCTGATTGAAACTAAATCATTCTTTATCGACAATAGAATTGGGTAGAATGACAGCCGAGCAGAAATCTCTCATAGAAGGTATGTCCACTTTTCTGGGTGAAAAAGCAAAGAGGAATACGATCCTTGTATTCACGCATCTAAGCAATCCCGAAAACATGATGAGAGATGATGTTGTCGAAAAGGAGTTGCATGAACTGCAGCGCAAATTACTGAACGAGACGAAAAACGGATTTGTTTCTTATGCCTCGCCCCACTTGTACAAATATCTTGGCCAACATTTTGACAGCAATACGAAACGACTAAAGACCATGATTAGCAAGATGGAGTCAATAACTGGAAATGACATAATACATATGGATCCGGATGGTGCATGTAAGGTTTTAGAACAGACCGAGTTGAAAAAAAGGGTAGAAGTGTTGGAGGGAAGGCTAAAAGATATCGACAATTTAAAGAAAGATCACGAGAGTATGAAGGAAGAGTTTCAGAAATTCCGTGAGAAAGATAATACGCCCGCTCCTCAATCTGAATGCTTTGATCTAAACACTCGAGTGTTACTTGAAAACAACGAGTATATCCCAATGAAAGACGTTCGTCTTGGCGATAGAATCTGTTCTGGAATGCAAAACGGGAAACTTCAATTCTCTGAAGTCTATCTCATTACACATCATGAAGAGATTGCAACGACGGAATACCTTAAAATCGGGTATAACAGTGGATCAGAATCAGGTGCATTATGGTTTTGTTTCTTCTTTATTGAGCTATCCTTGTTTACGAATAGATCAGTCTGACGAATTGGGAAGCATCAAAAATGAGTGATATTAAAAAATTTGTTCATACTTTACTAATAATAGGTGTCCTTCGTCTGACTGCATCGCACCATATTTTTGTGAATGGAGACAGAACAACCGACTTTGCTCATAATCTGAAACCGCTGGAAAGCAAGATTCTTGTTTTCAATGGTCTTTATTTAGGCACTGGGAAGGAATTGACCCTTGTCACAGTAACTAGCGTCACCAGAGTACGTGGATGATTCCTGAGAATGCTAATTGTCAATTCCCTCTTGTATCCGAGATTTTTAATTCATCAATTTTTAACAGGAGTTCCGTAGGGGGTACATTGGCATGTTCACACGCAAAGGAACAATATTAGCGGACAATGTTCTCTGCTCATGCTATGCCGAATGCAAGCCATTGCAAAACCTCATTCACCTGGTCATCTTTCCATTGCAATTGATTACATTACTGTACTCCTTCAGTGATTCGAAAGAATTGCATCCTTACCTCCGAATATTGATGCATATGTATTCGTTGGGCAGAGTGACGATAGTGAGCGGACTCGCTCAATGGTTGCAGAAAACACTTGTGGCTGTAAACAGAATTGGCTTGGATTACTATATTATCGTTATTGTATTTGTAATTGGACTTTATCTTTTATTATCGCAATGATTAAACGATAGCTAAATTGGCGCAGTATATTACAATACACGTGATTTTATGCGTTTGTTAGGGATTTCGTCTGATATGCATGCCTCTGTGTACTACTGCATATATGCGCTGCTCCCTGTGCCATCACCGGATATGTTATTTTATTGCCTGCAGTTTATGCATGCTTTCGGCTTTATTTATTTCCATTTTATGCGTTTGAATGGCTATAAAGGATAAATGAATGTATCACATATGGATAATAATATGGGCAGCCGTTACTATCTATAGTCCTACCTTTATGATGTATCATAGCAGCCGACTATTGGCTATTTGGTATTCGCGTGATGTTATCTTTAATGATTTTGTTTTCCTTTTGAGATGTTAAAAGTTTTTATGATGCGCATAAAATATAATGGCCAAGCGCAGTGAAAGAATGGAGCATGAGCTTTATTACTAAGGCGCAGGGATGAAACAAAGTCGGAAAGCAAATCACCATATGGAGAGAGAGAGCGGCATTAGGAGCAGCAATAAATAGTAGGACAGCGCCTTCTGCGTTCGTAACGAGTTGTCGTCATATGCAGCATAGATGTTGCAAGAAGGTTCCCTCCCCCTTACCCGCGCCTCAATAATTGAACTAGTTTACATTAATATATCACGCCACGCGCGAGAGATAAACTAAGGGGATGTAACTTTATAGTCTTGCCATACTCGTCTCCATGCTATTTATGTGTGTCGCGTTCCTGCATACAATCGATAAACCTTATTAATTGTAAGAGCCTAGTTAAAAATGGAGAACAAGCGAAGAGACAAAATGGCAAGCATAAACAAATGTGTTAATTTGGATTAATTGCTTTCATTTGTGCATATTATCGCGTGTGGTGGCTATGTGAGTTATGGCGGACATTTACGGCTGCAAATTTCTCTACAAGCGTTTATGCGCATAAATAAAATAAAGTACAAATACTTTAGTGCTTGGTGACATTTTGCTGAGTATTAAGTCACTGCTTTATTATCACAACGCTGTATGTGATATGTGATGATAGGTTTTGGTGTATCCCTGCAATCTTAACGCAGGAACAGGATATCCTTGAGAATAATAGCATTGAGTTAGCATAATTGTACCATGCATAAGTTGGTGGTCTTAATGTATGTTGATACGTTCGTTTTTAATTGCGTAATGTCTTGGCGGAGTATTTCACGTGAACGGTCGGTCAAAAAATTGGGGATTTTCCCGCAAAAGTTATGAAAATGGGCGATTTTTGACAATGTGCTGTAATACAATTACCTCGAAAAAGGTCCTTTCATTTTCATTTCGGTAGATTAATTGCTTGAATTTACAAAATTACTCAAACGTAACGTAATAAAAGCTCTAACAAATATGGCAAGAATTCTATTCGCCAGATTTAACAACTGCCTAAACTAGAAATGGCATCTTCAGTCTTCTTGTTTGCGTATGTCGAATTTAATGCAAAATCCTTTGTTCAAAAGTGCCATGAAAGATTTATTCACTTGAGCAACTCGCATACTTTTAAATAAAATTTTGTACTTGGAAGACAGCTTTGTGTATATATTTCACGAATTAATAACTCTACGAATATAAAATAATCACGTTACAAATTTTTATTGCCAGAACATATCAAGCTAACTTGAAGCATAAAAGATCGTTTTTACATGCAAATTTCCGAACGATGGATGATTCATCTGTTTAAATAAATTTTTATTATTTCTCGCGCGTTGATTTCATTCACATAGAAGACAACTTTGTGTACATATTATATAAAGTAACCAGACAATGTATCGTTACAAATGTAAAATCGGAAGTTGTCATAACAACTTGGTATACAATATTGCAATTTTTTGGGTGATAGATGGAGTTTATCTGTTTTGTAATTCCACGCGCATTGATTTTCATTCACACAAACCAATGGAGCGTAATGCATCAAATTGCAGTTTACTAATTAAATCACGAAAATAAATTAAAGACTTGTCAGATTGACTATTTAGTTACCAGCACAAATCCGATAAAGTACTTACAGCATGAATTTAAAAACGTTAAGAGTATAATTCACAATCAAAGCATCATACCGTAAATTTCCGCAAGACAAACTCGTCGGAATCGGGTCCGTATTATTTCATCGACAATCATTTCATCGACAGTACATTTCACCGATAATTAACTACTAAAAAGGATAAATTCGAAATAATGTTGGTAAATAATTGTCGGTGAAATAATTGTCGGTGAAATAATTGTCGGTGAAATGATTGTCGATGAAATAATTGTCGATGAAATGATTGCCTCCCTCAGAATCTTATTGAAAGCATGATAAATACGACAGACAATAAATTCAAGCAGGCCAACAAAGTGTTGATAATTAAAACGTATATCCCATGTATACGCCACTACAATTACGGTCATCGCATTATTTGTATACGCCACTACTCTACGGTCATCACATTATTTGCATAATTAACTAATACATTTGGAGTTTTGCGTTCCTTTATTTAGTTGCACCTTTAACTAATACATTTGGTGTAGCTGGCCGCGCCTCTAGCTTCATTGCCTAAATTATGGATTGTGTCTATGGTCTTTTTCCTTTTTTATATACAATGTCGAGTTTTGGTTTTGAAGCAATTTTTGCAACATGGCTTGACTATACAGTAGATGCTGGCCGTCTGATTTCATTCACGCGAATTTCAAGTGAAAGTTTACAACCGATCATGTGATAATACGACATTATAGCGTCATATGATACTAGTGTCATAACCAACATTGTGTCATGTTGGACATGTCGCGCGTGTGTTATAGTAAAAGCGTTAGTTTAGTAAATAAGTTATTGATGCCAAACACTACATTGCTACAAGATGTCATGGATGGTCCATAAAGTCACAAGCCTGTGGAGATAGAGTTTATGTGATCTCTACCAGCCTTTATATTATTGTTTTCTGTTCTTGTGAAAACAAGAGCCTGGTTACGCATAGTTTTTATATTACCTAATCGCTAGTAACTTGGTACTAATGTAAATTTAGGGTGGTGGTATTTATAAGATTAAGGGGGTGTGTTTTTTCGGACGCATCACAGTGACTACAATGGCATTTCGCGTGAATTATTAAATAGCATTATTAATAATCGGGCATATTACTGTATTATGACTGTAAGCATCATAATGGCAGATTGCTTGTCTTACTTTTGTATCTGATCATCTCAAGCTGTTGGTTGACCATGGGGTGAGTAACCGTGGTTTTTTCCCATTATTGGCAATTGTAATATCTTGGGTTTATTTATTTGGTTTAACCTTATCCTTTCATCGCAACAGAAGATTGGCAGGGCCGTACTGTGTGTGGTGATCGGGCTTATTAGCAACATGTTTTGACATTTCCATTGTGTACACTATCTTCAATTACGAGACAACTGTCCATTGTAGTGGGTAAATATAAGCTTGTTCTCTTATTGCGGTAACAAAACAAATAGTATCTACATCGTCCACCCGGAAATCCTGTTACTTGCTTATTGCTACATTATGATAATGATCATTAAACAAATTGATGGGCAGATAGAATGTAGTGGTATTTGCACTCGTTGTACATACAGATTAGCGTCTATGAGTGTATATGAGAGGGTGGTTATTCTACAAATGGCATACGTTTACCCAAAGTATGTTGGTATCTATATTACAAAATATTTTGTTTATGTGCCAATTAATTTTGTTGCATGGCAAGATGATCTGTATCAATTTGCAGATCTGTTAAATTAATTTAGTGCTTAGCATCGTATGCTGGATTCATTGGCTCGATCCTGTCATGTGGTATTCATATCTATTTGTATATCACGTGATAAACATATCAATAGAATATAGCTTTCGTTCATCGTTCTCTTATTATTATATATATCCACACCGTAAACTATATACAGGTTTACGTTAACCCAGACCTAGCATATGTTTCGGATGTTTAAAAAATTATCCGGCAATCTATTTGAATCAATGCCACGTTATAAAAATTGTTCAATAACAATACTTGGGTTATCTGATTGTCATTACGAAAGTATTGTTGCTTCCCAGCATAAATGTTGACGTTTTGTGAAAGAGTTGACAAATATACAGTTTTACAATGTATAATACAATGTGCGATTTTATGAATTGTATTGATGTTGTATAAAGTACAATACCCTGCTATACTATATAGTACTTTCCGCTAATCATTACCACAAACGCTGTAACAATCTTTATACCATTTTAGGATTAATTGTAATTTTCTAGTTTGTCAACCTGTTCCAGCTCTCATCAATATCGTCCGTCTCTCCACGTGTGTTACTTCTGATATATATTAAGATATATATCGGAGTAAGTATTCCACTCCTCTCCTCCATCAGAGTTTAAGCTAATATTGGTGAAACATAGGTTAAATGTTATCAAATTATCAACGAACCAATTAAGAGCGGAATAAGAATTCCGGCATTCCTGTGCATTGGCTCATTAGGGAACATTGTATTGGGACTGATTGTAAGCATAGACACGGAGTATTGTGAATGTGAATTTAATAATAGAAAACCAGTACTACGCCTGCTTTTTTTGTTGTATATATTAATAAGTGATTATGCTGATATCACTATTAATAAATCAAAGTGACATTCCCCCTACTTTTTGGCCCCCCGATAACTCCGACACATACGCCGCAAAGATAAGCAAGAGTCATGCACTTGTGTGCATGATTGATTATGTTTATATCTGATGACAACGAATCGGTTCTTCCTATTAGTTCTCTGTTTACTTCGGGCTTGATCTTATCGCCACCGATAAACGATAAGCATAACATTGCATACTGTGCTTGACGCCGAACTGGGTGTGAATGTGAGGCGTGGTCTGTGTGTGGGAAGAGGGAGAAGCAAGGAGAAGGAGTTAGGAGAAGGAGTTAGGAGAAGGAGTTAAGAGAAGGTAACAATGGAAGAAGAGAAGAAATTGTAAACGATCGTTAAAGTGATTAGGTGAATAACAAATTATCCATGCCGACATTGTTGTGACTTGTATTGTCTATGTCGTGAACTATGTGTGCGATTGCGCCAGATGTTTATTCTATCAGGTTGATATGGATGTTATTCTCCGTTTAGTACAATTATCCTATTTGAGAAATAGTTTGACCATGTCTGGTGAACAAGAATAAAAAAGACCCTTAAACTACTTCATTGAAATGTTGCAGATTCACGAGGTTGTTGAATATTTTAAGATACAGTATGAGGATCTTCAATTGAATGACTTACTGTTTTACGTCTGTATAATTGTGACATCAAAGAATACAATACCTATGGCTGATTTTGTTCGTAAGATTGGCAACATCTCAACTCGTCCGCTTTTACTCGACTTGAAATAATTTGAAAGTTTGTTTATAATTGGTGATCATCATTAAGCAGGGGTTTGCATCAATTATAAACATGCAAATTAACTTTAAATTTTAATTTTATACAGTACGTTGTTCATCATCAAACAACCCTGGTAAACCATGGGTTTAACTTGCTCGTATACATTACTACTACAAGTGGCTCTCGATACAAGAAATTTTCGATACAAGAAAGTATTTTTGCTGGACCCGATTTAAAATCTTGTAACAAACAACTCTCGTCATAAGAGATTTCGATACAAGGAATTTGTTGGGCCCGACCACTTTCTTATATCGAGACTCACTTGTATTACCTATTTTTAATATAACGATCAATGTGACATATAGCATTAGAAACTAGCCCAACCAAGCCATTTGCCTTAACCCTAAATTGCTTAACTAAACAAAGACCCCAAGCGGCGCCTTTGTTTATTTCTTCTTCCAACTGATTGTTCATGAAACATCGGAGGCTGGTGAGATCTGGTGATTCACATTCTACGCTCAAACAATTGCGATCGATGTGTATACTGCATACATTTATCAGCGACGACCTCGCCATGATGATATAAACTGCGCCAAATACCTCATATGCAATTTTAGACTTGCATAAATTATCAACCCGCCGGCGATCATAGAACAAAGGTAATAAACAATGAATAATAAATAGAAGAAGCTTATCTCCTGAGATATCTTATCATAGATTATTAATATATTGAAACAACTCCCCCGATCACGCCTCTGGTACAGACAATGTAATACATTGTCTGAACTACCCAAACAGTTATTCTATAATGTATCATACCCCATCGCCAGATGAAACAAAAGGGATTGGCTTTTACCATATTCTACTCTTGGCGTATATTCGAGGATTTCATGGTTTCATTATTGTGGGGTCAAATATATGCAGAACACAGTCATACACTTCTTAATTTAGAAAATAAACGAAGGTGAAATAGAGAACAAACCCCATTGCCCCTGTTTCTCCCGCGAACTTTATTGATTTCTTGGATAATAATAAAATAAGTAAAAAAAGTAGACTAATAACAATGCTAATAATTCTAATTAAACTAATTCAAAAGCCAGAAAAAAGTCTCCGTGACATAAGTGGATGAGATTTACATTTAACATTATTTCTGACTTTAAGTTCTATTATATATCATACAACATTACAAAATAATGCCAGCCAGCGAATACTGCACGTGAAGAACAGAGAGGCTTCTAACAAATCGACGAATAAATCTTAATTAATTATAGCATCGCATATAACAATCGCCCATCTTCACTATTCTACAACCGTGCTTTCTCGCTTAGCTGGGATACTATTTTTACAGTACTTTTGAGTGTTGGGCTTCTCAAAATTCTCCCTGACTAGTGTAAATATGTAATTATCTTCCCATATATTCCTTCATCTCACTTCCACTTTCGAACAACAGAGACCTCTTTCGTTCAAAGACGAGAATCGTGTACTTTATATATATATATCAAATAAAAAAAACTAACCTCGATACCCTAAAGCAATGTATCTACAAGACTTTTCCTTGTTAAAAGGAAAAGAAAAGATCAAGAAAAGAAAAAAAACCGATGATAAAAGAACAGAACAAAAAAGACGAGTGATATTCGTTTGATCGGGTAAAGTGAAAGAAACAGACCAGTGTATACAAAGTGTACTTACAAAACCTCGAAAGCCCATCCGACCCATAAAAACCCAAAAAGAATTAAATAACCCAATCGAACGATTGTATATGTTATAAACCATATTTTTATAATTTTCTCACTTTTTTGTGTATTTTTTGTTTCTTTTCTTTCTCCAATGTGAAAGGTGAAAGAGAAAAAGCATTTAAAAAGGTAAAATAAAGGGAAAGGGGGGAAGTGTGAGAGGGAATATATGTAACAGTTGAAAAAGAGGAAAAAAAAAAAAGGAAAAGAAAAAAGAGAAACCCAAGTATTATACTTTTATTATTATTGTAAGTAGGCAACTTGTTGATTCGCAGAACCACCCAAGAAATCGTTGACATCTAAGTTCGCAAGTAAGTCGGTATATGACGGTTGACCGTTACCGTTAGCTCCATTGTTATGATAAAACTGTTCACCAGTCTCGACATAAATATTTGAAGTATCGGTAGGCGACGTCGGCGTCGAAATGTTATGATGGAGCATATAATCATCCAACACTTGGCGATGGCTTCTGTAGACATCCGGAATGACACAAAAGTCCAAGTTCTGATACCCGCCGTATGGACCATCTATGGACTGGAATTGGATAGGTGTATTGTGACCGCTCGTCGAATAAGCCAACTCATGATAGACACTTGGTTGACGATTGACCTTCAAGGACTGAACGCCCAATTGTGGTGGGGATATTGGAGTTATTGGCGAGACGGAGGTGGTGGATGATGTTGTGGTATTGGTGGACGGAATTGAAGACATGTCGGGGAAGTGTGTGTTGTGCAATTCGTCGAGCGGAGCTGGACTAGCCATCAAAGGTATTTCGGGTTGGGATGGAAGAATAGGATGTGCGGTATCGGTTCTAGTGGCTAAGTTTGACGTTATGATTGATGGAAAGAAGTTTTGGGCTGATAGGTCTAATCGTGTTGGTGAATTGGGAACTGGTTTGGATCTCCGTCGAACTGGTCCAGTAGTCGAAACAGCTCCATTTCCGACCGACTTGCTCTCGTTGGCTGCGGCTGCTTCCTTGCGGCGTTGTTGTCGGCGTTTGTCAACCTTTTCGCTCTTCTTCTTGTTCTTGACCGGGCGATAGACATAATCCGGATACTGCTTCATGTGCTCCAATTTCTTGCGATCTGCGTATCTCTCCCATTCTAAACGAGTTTCTTCAGACTCGGATTTCCACATGTCTGAAATTTGCCTCGAGACTTCAGCGTTCGTAAGGTGCCTCTGTGATGCAATGATTGCTGGTTGTTTGGCACGTCTATAGAGGATGAAGGCATTGGGTGGGCGCGGAGTACGTCTAGGTTGCGATTGAGATGAAGATTGTCTATCTTGTCCACTGTTATCGTTTGTTTGTTCATCGCCTGCGGCTGCGCCTGCTGCTAGGGCATGACTTTTATTAAAGTCGTGTATATGAGAGTCTTGCAGTGGAATGAAATTGTTATGGCTATAGTAACCCATCGCGGAGGGATCAACCTCGCCCCGCGATGAAATGTCGATAAAGTTTTGAGATGTCGGAGACTTTTGAGATGTCGATGGGCTATCGAACATCAAGAGACCACAGAACTTCTTTCTAGCTTCAACATCCATTGTTTGTATTAGTTTTGACTAAGGTCGGTGGATTGTTTCAGTTAAGGGGAATGTGAATAAATTTAAAGATGGATAAGAACGTCTTTTAGTTTTCCACCTAGAGGATTATTGGCCGCTGGGGGTTAATTGTGAGGGAATGAGTAATATATGCTCCAAAATGTAGGTGAAGGAGAGGGGTTTGTTCTCTTTACTTGTTGAGAATTTTGTGTAAAGAATGGGAAATCGGTTGTAAATTACCTGAATATATATACATCATTTTCGTCGTACAATATAATCAATTTATAGAATAGATTTTTTATACCATCCCCATGTGCTGCATATCGAAATAAATAGACGGAATATACAAAATTTAATACTGTAGTTATATACTAAACCATTGTATTGTGATATAAGTGACAAAAATCAAAAACACCCTATTTTTCAAAAGTCACTTGATTATATTACAAATTTATTTATGATACAAGTAAACTACACGTTAAACCCTGCTTTAATATTTATACAATATATTCGTTATGGACATGTTTATCGGTCATGTTTTATTACATCTGGTTCATACACTACACCCATGACATCTACCTCTTATCACTGTATCCGGTTGTTTCGCTATGCTATGCTTTGACCGTCCCAACTACTCAAATAAAGTTTGCATGTATAATGAATTGTAATTACTATTGTTACATGTGACCTCAGTATAATTAGTTTGCTATCTTGAAAATTTATTCCAGTTCAAGAGAATGTGAATAGTGGTTCTATTGTCTCGACTTATTCTTAAAGCGAACCCATTGTCATTAAATTAATTAATTCTCTTCTGATTTGTTAGCTCGAAGCATTCAGAATTTCCGTATATTATAGCTACTACTCAACATGGCATGCCCTTGGATAAAAAGAGAAATGCAATTTAAATGGGCGTATTTTGTATCATTGACGCCTTATGATAGCAAGAGATGTATGGACTCTCGTTCAAACGCATGATGCGGCGTCTATTACAGACTAGCATGTATGAAGAATCTTCTTTGGAAACAATTGAAATATATATGCTAGCTCATTACGAATGGACTACCTTTTCGTCTGCTATTGTATATTGTCTATTCTTTTTATCCGGAGTATATAATCCTATGAATACATTCTGTATATGCTAAGAGTCTTGGCTAGAGGGTGATCGCCGAAGGATGATTCATTGTTAACTGTCGATTTAAGCGGATATAGGCATTGTGTGATACAATACCCCTTTCCAGAATGATCTTCCCCGGGGGGTTTGTAACTCAATACCCGAGCGAGTTATTTATATGAAACTTGATATGTATCATATGATTGTGTTCACATCATTTATACTATTTACAATAAGTACGCTGTAGTCAATGGTAATAAGATAGTTTAGAGAGTTATATCGAAAGCTTCTCCCAATAAGGATGTTACTATATCATTCTCATTTCATTAGAGTGATAAATAGACATAATCGCTAATGGTTGTTCATGATATTGGTGTGCTATGAAATGAGATAAGCTTTCAACAGTTACGTCAGACAATGACGTATACATTGGGTAAAGCAGGGGATATCCGAATTTATGTCCTATCAATAGTACAACAACCATAATATTCTGTTTCTTATTGTTTTAATAAGTAGTAAATTATTAATATTGTTAGCAATAGCATATAGGCTCCCTTGTTTATATTCCCTTGTCAGCCAACAATCACTAATTGTCATTGTAAACATTCAATTTTAGAAAAAGAACAAACGAACAAGGTTCAATTGTATAAATAATTTAATTGCTAAATGGCTATCATATCTAAAGCCAATATAGTATTAACGTTGGACATTAGCCTCCAAGCTATTGTTAAATGGCTCTCACGCTGTCAGGTTAATGAGCACACTGCTAAAGACCGCACATCAAATAAAATGCGTTGAAGACGTAAAAGTTACTGTATATTAGAGTATCAAGAAATAAATAATCTCCATTATGTTACTGTATAAAAATAATAAATGACAACAATCGTAAGGGCTCAATATACGAATTAATAATTAAGAATTAAAGAACGAACAATTATATATATTTTATTATTCTATCTCGTTCCTTTAGAATATTCTTCGCTTACGTATTGCAAACATGATGAACATCGCAAGATTCCAAGTGAAACCATCAGCGGTAAGCGACGAAATAATTGGTTGCTCTTAAACAAGACGCTGCTTTTAAGCAATACCAAAGAAAGGTTAATTAAAGAATAGAAGCACCTCGTGATCGTCTCACAAACCAAGTCTATCGTACGCGAAACAATCAACCTGCATCATTAATTAATAATTAATAAAACAGTCTTAATTATATTGGACATAAAAAGCGTAGGCTTGTTATTAAATATAACCTTAATAGATTGGTTCGTTTCCTAATCATCACGTCTGATTGCCATTTATCCGGTTCTTGAATTCGGGAAATCGTGAGCAGATGCAGATCTCTCCGAAACAGATTCAACTCATCTCTTTTCTTAACCTTATTCATCAAGCAAAAGAAAGTACGGGCCTAAATTTAATTCCTACCATTACACGGACCGTCCCAATTTCAATGTAAAAATGCATGTGAAGTAATATGATGAAACGTCAATACTTATTGACGCAGCTCACTGCGTAAAATACAGAATAGCATTACGATTGCATTGTAATTTCCTAATTATTAGGTTCCATACCGCTTTCTTGTTTTGTAAAAGTAATAATGTTTGCATTCCATTCATTGTAGACATTATCTCGAATCTCGGAACTCGCGTCATTTCCCGTCCAATTGATAACAGTCATTGACATCACCTCAATTCCGCAATACATAACCGCCAACTCACCCATTGTGCTGCCAAACAATGAAGCTACAATAAGTCAAACAAGATTGTGGAAGAAAGCGCACGGAATATGGCCATAGTTTGTTACATAAAATAAATTGCATATTCCCAATTTGATTTGTTTATCTAAAGCTTTGCATTATAATGACAATGAATGGAACATAGTTTCCAACACAATTAAGGTAATCGAATCAACCATGAGGAAGTGACTTAAACCCGAAGGGCGTCCGGTACAACTATCTGACGAGCCTACAAGCTACAAAGAAAACTCCACGGTACAACGGGGGTCTTTTGTACATGCTTCAGAAAAGAACACGAAAATGTCATCACTAGTTCTTATAGTTCAAATCGTTATAGCTTATGAATCTAGGTGGCTGTGTGTGACACACAGACGTAGTGCTAAAAATACCCTCACTGACATTATTGGCTGGGGCGCATGACGTGATGACTAGGCGTTTCTATGCTGCGGATCCAAAAGGGTTTATGTGGCTAATCCAAAAACCGCCAAATGATATGTCAGCAAAAATAAATGCAATGATCTGCGCTAACGCCGAACCGTTGCGCAGATTTAACGTTTGTACTAAAAATAAACGATTTTTTTTTATTTATTGGTATACAGAAAGCTCATCTTCAAGGGGTATCTCATAGGGGGTGGCTGATTGATGTGGTTAAAACTTGAATACATCCAATCAGTGTATATCTACGGGGGCTGAAAAATCTATTCGGGACAAATGCATTATTAAGGAAATTGTGGCATGCCAAGAAACATTGTGCCAACTTTGTGCCTGCATGCCAATCACAGGCTCACTCGGGTGAGTCTCGCAATTGGATGAATTTCGGGTTTACTGTTTCAAAACGAACTGGGGGTATGCGCACATTAATATTACTTGCGACAGCTCATAATGACACTCGATATTTTAGCTATAAATCATTATGCTAAATGTATACATATTCGAACACTTAAGCTTTTTTTTTCAATGGGGTCTTGGAAAAATCAGGTATCTCGTAACATTTAATTAGTCATTTGCCAAGGGGAGGGATATGTCTTAAAATCGCTATTGTTTACATGTATATCCAACCCATGTATGCATCAATCAAGAAACGTTCTGTTCTTATAGGGCCATTTCGTACTAGCACTGAAAATTCTCTCCCATAGGGCAATATAATAACTTTGAGTTTAGTACCGGATGTATTAGTATCTTTTACACACTAAATACAAACTGCATATACGTGCATTTTCTTGTTTCATAAAAATCAGGCCATTTGATAAAATGTCGTCAACTTGTTAGAGTTTGGAATTTGGTACATGAAATACTGGTGCCTTTTTGTTAGCCTTTTGTTGTCCATTCAGCCTAAAGCACGTACGACGGACATACGCCTTTAATATTCTATTATACTGATTACGGCTAAGACCGGAAATTCATATTACCACAGGCTGCGAATTATTAACGGCCACACGCCAACACAAACAACAACGTATACCATCAATACACCTGGTAAAAGTTCCAACACCACCCTGGCCAATCTTCCCAATCCAATGAAAATCGTCATCAACTGGTTTCATTGAGGACGCATTCGATGTTAGTTGCGAGTGAAATTCATATTGCAAACGGTTTGGATTGTGCAGGTCATACCTAATACTGTTTAGCGGAATCGCTGTAGGAAATGGTTGGTCGAATTAGCGTTGGAAACCTTAATACGAATATAGTATTCTCGTTCCAATTTTAACGACTGTCTTTTACCAAGTAGGACGAATGTAATATTGTAATAGGTTTGTTTGCTGCTGTACCCATATGTTGTATTATGTTTATAGTGTAGAAATCGACTGATACATCAAATATGTATAACAAGTACCGTATTCCCGACGCGTTTGAACAGACGTTGGACGCTGTGAGATTTATCAACGGGACCAATTTTTAGTTGCACATAATTTAGGCGATAAAATTTTACCGATATTCCCAGGGTTGAATTCACAAAAGTGCAGGTTACGATAAGCTAGGAAGGAATATTGTTGGAATGTGTATAGGCGCTGTATCGTGCGGTTACGCTACCTGAACAAATATGTGTCCTTTGTTTTCTCTATACATCCATAAAGAACATCTAAATTATAATGGATTGATATTTACCATAGGATGCTTAGTAAGGTTCTATCAGCAGATTGATGAATGCATTGTAACAGTGAACAAAATTTTAATTAAACTTAATATATTCATTGTGCTTTATTACACCTGGCTAAATGCTTGAAATGTTCCGAATCACTAGCAGCAAGCGGGAAATCCGTGCAACCGGGTTGCCCAGTATTTGGATATTAATTAAGTACATGTTCGTAAATGGTAAGATCACATTATTATCGACAAAATATGCTTGTTGACTAAAAAGATGCAACAAGAACTAAGCATTAGATCAGGAAACCATGAGGCGAACATAGCGAGATGATAAGAAATGATATCTAATGAGCATACTGTTATATTGACTAGAACGAATAAAATGAACTGCACAACGTATATGGATTAGATTGCTCATTAACGTATTATTAAATACTGTATCGCTAAACTTTTTGTGGCGTATCATCATTAGTAACAGATTCTCTAACCATTAATATCTACGCATATCTTGTGACTGACCATTAAGATCGTACTCATCGGACAATAAATTACAAAGCCATCTAGACCATATCTTTCATATTACAAATTAACCGCATTTACACATATGGCTATCCGTTAGAATGTGCTTCTACGCTTCCAAAATCTACAATCTCTTCGATTGTCGTTAGCAGTCTGTTGACGGCGTAAGGAGGAAATAGCCCGCGTATGAGTCTTTGTTTTTAGTTCGTTCGTTGTATGCCGAGTGAATAAGCATGGATGGGTGACTAATACCAAAGTAGAAAAGACATAACATAACAGATGCGTAACAGGTCCACAAAGAAAAATTAGCATAATTAACAAGTGTCATGAAACATAATAGAGTACAGCTTTATAGTTGTGAAATAGGGTCTTACACAATCGAAACGGAACAGCATAACTGTAGCCACGCCCACAATGATAACATCTGTTCATTGTTAACCAGCATACTAGTACTTTCAGTATCGGATAACTCGAGGATGCTTTTTCTTATCAGCCGTATTCGTTGTGTTTTAAGCGTCGCCATCTGGCATCATTTAATTCTGAATGTACAACATGTCACATCCTTCCTTTGGCTCAGGATTAGTAGGATACCGGCAAGTAAATCAGATGTTAACGCATATTTCTTTAATTAATATGATGGCTATAATGGTTGATTATGTGTCAGGTAACGCTATTGGGCACATACGCATTACTGAACAATTATTTAATTAAATTTAAGCGATAGTTAATTGGTGTATATTGACCTCGTGAATCAAGAATGTGTTGTGGGGGAGGTTTAAATGGCTCTTGTTTGCCATAACTGCGTTTTAGCTGCGGGCAGATGATGACGCGCGACACGCAAGGGATTGAATAAACAATTCTAGCCATTTGAAACAAGTCAGATGGCGAATTATAACAGAAACGAGTGGTTGGTAAGAAGAATAATGTGGGTAGTACTGAGAGTGATAATGGAATATGGTGTCTATTGTACCAGATTGCTGTCATCATTTTATGGTCAATTATCTTATGATTAATGCACCCACGACTTTTAATTCGATGTCTCGTTCGTTTTAATCTTTGTGTGCGTCTTGCAGACAAGGGGCAGTGCGACAATGTGAATGCCCGCTTGCGGGTAGACGGGCGTATATGTGTATTGTAGGAGTATCAGCGTTTGTTTGTCCATTCAGATTGTAACGAGTTTATGATACCTGTTGATTAACGTGTCCATGTGATTCACGGCTGATATCATGATATCGTATGTTGTATGCCGACAATTAAGTTATTACTGGTCGTACCGATCATTATTGAGTTGTCAGAAATTAATTTAATTTGTAAGAACGTAGATATGATGACCAGTTAGCACGGTAATTGGTTACTTGGGGATGTGGGAGATAACTGTAATGCTCGGTGACTATTCGGGTCAGTGACTTGTCCATTAATAACAGTTTTGTTGCATTAACAAATATTAACAAACTTTTTAAACTGATTTTCAAGTAAAACACTCGGGTTATTCCGAAATATCACTACCGAATAATGAAATGACCCTGTGAATGATGCACACTATCATATTAATAATCAGTTGCTTATATCACATATTCTTTGACCCCAAACCTTACAAGACCCCTACAATAAATGTCGCAATAAATTACTAACCAACTTTAGCCATAATTTCAGTTGCTTTATACTAACACTAACTTAAAAAATTGATTCATAAAATATTAAGATAACATAAATAGAAAATTGATATCATGAAATCAACACAATAGTAATCTTGTAAATTTTCTGAAATACATAAAAAAAATTATTATTCGAGTAGGATAGCCAACAATGATCTTGCAATTTAACGTCAAGCACTGAATCTGATCGCTTCGGATGTTGATAAGGGTGGTACAGTGCCTACTCAAAAGTCTCCAACCCACCCCTTGAATTTTTCGTCGATCGCGCTAACGCTATAGCCAACATTCAAACACAATGAAATTTTAATCATTATTTGCGCTTGTTCCGACCTATATTCCTGCAAACTTTTATCGCACATTAATATCTAAGATTTTGAGTTTGCTTATACCCGAATTTTATTTGACAAATTATGTTTCGCAACCCAAACGTTTAAAAAAGTACATAAAAAAAAAGTTATGTCACGACACCATACAAATTAATATTCATTTAAAAGCATTTGAAAGTCTTGATCAAATATAAAAAATTTTACATTGTTATCTTGCTCAGTCGCCGAGAAAGAAAATCATAAAATTTATTATGTAAAAATGCAGCAAAAAAATTTAGTAACCTATACGTTCAGAGTAGTATTCAAGCACAGTTGTGAAGCAAAATATAATAAAAATTTTTTTTTAATACTTGGTTGCATAACCTTTAGCATGTCTAACTGCTTTTACTCTACGTTCATGCTTAAAATTAGATTTTAAAATATGGTATTTGGGATTTTCTTCCATTCTTCTTGAAGAATTCCCCTCAGATGTTGGTGGTGGATCCTGTTGTCTGATACGTCGTTTAAGCTCGCCCACAGATGTTCAATGGGATTAAGGTCAGGGTTTTATCCTGGCCATCACATCAGATTTAATGTCTGAAATACCGTTGTCAACTTACTTTTATGGACTGAAGCATTGTCTTGCTGAAATTCATATCAACAATTTCCCCCTTCAAGTCCTTCTATAAAAGTGCATTCAAAATGTCTATATATCTCTGACTGTTAATTATTCCTTCAACTCTGATCAGAGGGCTTAAAAAGTCCCGTGTAAAACAGCCCATCCATACCATTACTCCTCCATCATCATGCTTAACTGTTAGAACAACACAGTTAACATCATATTTCTCCTTTGGGAGTCTCCACACACGAGTCCTGCCATTACTTTTGAACAGTGTAGACCGAGATTCATCACTTTTTTCCATTGCTTATCTGTTCATTCCTGGTGTCTTTTGCACCATTCCAATCGGTCTCTCGATGGTTTTTGACTGAAATGTGTGATTTTCTGACAGCAACTCGACTATGATAATCCGCTTCATACAAAGCTCTTCTAACCGTTGAAAGGCTGGCAACAGTTCCAGATGACTGGACAAAGTCATTGTAGACTTGTTTTGCAGATTGTTGGCGATTGGACTGAACAATCTTTACAAGATGTCGTTTGTCCCTATCAGTGAGTAATGGCGGTCTCCCACTACGTGGACGTGGACGGGATGTTCCACAACCAGTCTCACAATATCTTCTATTATCATGTATTGTGCCTTGGCATGGCCGGTTTTGGCTTCAATTCCCGTTCAGTGGTCAAACAGCCATGCTCCAATAATAATTCCGCGCTCAATTCAGCCAATTCAGTCATAATTACTAATAAACGCAAAGAATTTTTTGCAAATGGTTATGGTAATAGGAAGTACCGAGTCCAAATTCTTCCTCTTGTATTTCAGATGCGCACTTATGTTGTGAATGTACACGCATGTGATTGCGTTCCAACTAACGATCTGCAAAACGCATATGTGCTCTCTTGAAAATTATGATAAAAAAGTTTTTATGTAATAATACCAGATCATTTGATATTTGTTTAAAACTGCAAGTAAATTGCTACAAAACCCAATTGAGATCTCGTTTATAGTGCAAACGGTTGGGCAGTTATTAAATTTTGAAAATTTTTATCGTATCGCTTAATTGTTTCGTTTTCGGTTAGATAAATTCAGGTATAAGCAAACTCGAAATCTTACATATTAATGTGCAATAAAAGTTTGCAGGAAATGTAGATCAGTACAAGCGCAAATAGTTACTACAATTTAATTGTGTTTGGATGTTTGCCTATAGCGTTATGCGCGATCAACAAAAAATTTAAGGAGTGGTCGGAGACTTTTGAGTAGGCACTGTATTAATCCATATGTAGTTGGATATATCTATTTTCACCTTTATCTTTTTATGATTCTTAGTAACCGCGTCAAGGCGCACCTTTTCAAGTTCCGCTTGAACTTCATACGCGTGTTTATCAAATGTTGGATTATTCCAAACCGCCGTTGCGTGCCTTATTAACGACTTTTAGTTAGGAAACGAGTGGGAATAATTATCCCTAAAGTCTTGTAAGAAATTTATAAACAAATTTTTGGCTTGCAATATTTGACTGGTTTAGGATTTCTCGGCTTGTCCGTTGGGAGATTAGACATTGCGTTTGAACGGGAAATTTGGATTTTGTAGCCCGAGTTAGCAGCAATTATTTTGCTTGGTGTGAAATTTGCCGGAGACCCCAACCCTATTTAAATGCATGGCGTAGTGACAATTATAAAAGTTTGGTGTAATTATTAGGCAACTGAAATACTACAAACAGGTAATTACTTCAATATATTTTCTTGTTATTTAATTTTGAATATCCGGATTTCCTGTCAGTGCTATATAATCTATTCATTAACATATTTCATTAAATATTAAACTATATTCAAAGCAGTTCTAGAGGTCCACCTTAGCTGTGCTTAATAAAGGACACATGAAATCATTAAACTATAATTGATTGAGATACTAACATGGGCATCTGTAACAAAGCCAAACATAGCAAACATACTCCACTGAGTCATTCATCATAATCATTCTATCCCATGTTGACTATGCTGATTAATAACTATGTAACATAGGAATAGGATCACATTGGTTAAAAAAAAAAAGCTACAAATCAGTGATATTGTTTTATCCAAGAAGAATTGAGAATAGAATGAGTCTGTGTTTTTCTGTCATAATTAAATAATGGTGCTTTCAAACACAGCAATTAAAATTTTTTGGATCTAATGAAGATAACATATAGCAGATATCCAATTTTTCAATAATAATAACCAAAATGATTGCATAGGGGAGACAATGCTCAGTCCCAAAGTCATCAATGAGTACAACAAATAAGCTTTCTCGTAACATAAGACAGATGCTATTAGCAAACGATTCAGTTTTTGGGCAAAATTTTGGCCCTTGACAATGACGGTTCACGTACTTTGCCCCATTTAATTGTTGAAGCCTAAAAGGTGCTTTTTCGTTGTTATATTTTTACCATTATTTTCTATAACCAATTTATCTACTCAATTAACCAAGATGAAATTTATACTATTATTTCATATTCTTCTCCGATATATCTGCAATATAATGTTCTTACTGAAAGAGTGTACTTTAGTGGCCTCACATATATCGTCTGTTGTTTGTGCTTTGTTGATAAATTGCAACATTTGTTTTGCGCAAAGCGGTGATACTAATTCATTTGGAAAACTGATAGTCCATTACGATTAATGTGTTAATGTTAAAAAATTGACCAATCGGTATACAAATGATATATCTTGTGCTTTTTTCCCGAACACCACTGTATATGTCGTTGGTGATTTCTTTTGTTGGAGTTTCGATTATTTGGTTTAGTGTCGGACGAATGGAGAGGACATTAACATGATCGGCCGTCAGTACGCTTGGCCCGCGTATTAGTATGATCTGCGGATTACCGCGGGTTTTTTAGTATTAATATGCGACGGCTAAATCAGGTATGTATGCTTGGTCGCTTGTCTTGCACAATTGACGTTTGTTGCAGTTGCTTAACGTTCGGATAACGATATTATGTAACAAGTGACAACTCATATGTTCAACAACTGAACCACATTTAACGAAACATGATTGGTAGTTGGGTGAATAATACGCACTGGGTGTAAAAATTAATTGCTTCTTTGCCAAATGGGTAATAATTGACACACACACATATATATACCTATCTTCCATTGCTTAACAAGTAATCTTGGCTTCTTCCCTTCCTTTCAATATAAACGCTAGCTTGACATTTACGTCTCTCTTCACAAATCTTTACAACCGGACTGTTCTGCGAATAGTTCGGGTAGATATCAAACCAGAACCAATGGTTGCGTGGACATTTCTTTGCCTCGTCCTCATTACTGTTAGTGCTGTCGTTGGCGACCCAGTATCGCTATTGAACCTGGTAAATGATGAAAGAGCCAAAGCTGGTGTAGAATCACTTGTCTTGGACGCGTAAGTAGTAATGAAACGAATTGACTATTTGTTCCCAAGGCCCATTTATTGATGCATAATAATCTCTCTCCATTTAACAGACGTCTTATCAAGGCCGCGCAAGCTCATGCAGACTACCAAGCAAGTATATCCGCAATGACGCACGACGACCCTATTGGAAACCTTGGCAATCGAATAAAACGTCTGGGGTATACCTACAGTAGCGTTGGAGAGAATATTGCTTTTGGATTCACAACTGAAGCTTCAGTTATGAAAGCGTAAGTGACAGAAATAACAGTAATTCCAACTATTATCTGATAACAAAACGACAAATAGTCATTTATTTATATTCCCACTTTGCTCCCCTTGCTTCACGTAAACCAGCTGGATGGACTCTCCGCGGCATCGTGCAAACATTCTTAACCCCAACTTCAATAACTTTGGCTCTGGTTTCAATAACAACTTCTGGACGCAAAATTTTGGCACTCTCCTCTACGGTGATGATCATGTTATTCCACCTTCTTCCAATTCATTGGTGTCAGAATCAAATGGCTCAACACCTGACGCTAAGCGAAAGAGAGGGGCATCAAAGAGAATGAACGTGAGGAGGAAGAATGCGGAGAGGAAGAGAAGACTGTGAAAAAGATTTGCTTTAAAAGAAACCAGAAGGAAACGACAATAATTTGCTGGAAGCGGATCCATTTTCTGGTGCTCGAGAATTAGCAACATTACACTTTTCTCTTCGGTTTCGGTACAATGTTCGGACCATGTCGTGAATAGTGTAAATATGATAGACAAAAAAGCAGACAATATGATTGTCTCTTTGAGTGTATAGTAATTATTTAATCTCTTGTCGAAGCGATCATTTTATAACATTCTAATATTACAAAAGTACATAATAAGTATTAGCATTGGGCTGGATTCAATAAATGTCGTTATATTATGACGGTTTGTTGTGAAGCATTCGATTGAGGAGTTTCAGATAATAGGGCAACTTTCAATTGGCAGCATAGTCATTTATGTAAAACCAAAATCGCTGGCGCTACGCGATATATCCAACTTTACAACCTTACGTCAATTCAGGTATTGGCCATCCAAGATTAATGATTGCCGAACTGTTTAGGCATTCTCGTGTAGTTCGTTTGTCTAAGAGCTTTTTTCAAGTTGGCTATAGGAGGAGCAAATGGTCCAGGTGCTTGTTCATGATCTATCCAAGGTCTCATTAATCCTCCTGCTCAACACTACATCTGACCATGTTCTATGGTAAATTTTGTTAAAAAGCTAACCATAGTCTCTACATTATATAATCTTTATACAGCCACAAAACTTACGATATAGCATCAATGCTCCCACCGGCTGAATCATCGCTGACATAGCAGACTTCTATCATAGATTGGGAAGCATTATTTAAAAAGTTAGTCTCCTCAGTATCAGAACACTAAAAAGGTAGCCTTGCGAAAATTGATTTTACTGGACGAGCCAAAGATTTAAGAGAAGTAAGCCAATTGCCTCGTCACAAGTCAATTGGTTTTTATCCTCATAAATCATCCAGGTCACCGAAAAGAGAAGCAGGGTTAGGAAGCAGATTATCAGAAACACTACACTAGTCTCCTTACCCAAAGTTTCAAGCACTTTTCGACGGAGTGGAAACGTACGCATCAAACATCGACCAGCTGTCGATAAAACATGATAGCTGGATAAGGGAGATACGATCTCATGCCGAACAACTGATTTAATCGCATTCGAATAGTCGGAATAAGAAGCTATCGGGACTATGGACGGTTTGAAAACGAGCGGGTAGCATCGGATGGTAATTATATGGAAGCCAGCGGCAAAGAAATGATTATTTTGGCAGGGACATTTGAATTAGTAATTTTGTTCCATTATTATTAGAGATTTAGGACCTTAGGGGGAGAGCTACAGCGACTCAACATCAACTCGCTTCAGTTCAAAGACGGTTTACGAGGTCTGATACTCATTTACTGTTTACATCTTATTCATTATGTGAAGTGTTTTAATTACTCAAACCACATATGCATGGGGCAGGCAACATACGACGCTTTTCAGACTGTGGCAAGAATAGCATGATCTCTACAATGTCCTTTTAACACGGCGTATGGTTTTGGGGAGATTTTATATTTATTATATGGCCGCACAATGTCCACTAAAGTGAGTCGCGGGTTGATCTTGTTTATACTCTTTATGTCTTTTCGTCAATTTGCTAACAATACTCACGTCACTTTCCGAATTCCCTTCCTACCTTCAAGTGTAAAATCCACAATGTGTTGTCATGTGTCGTCACATAACATCACTACTGGAAATAGACAGTGTCTCCGCATCAGCTTGTTCTAAGCAAGGCAGGAAACGATCTGAACGTTTCTATCGTAGATGAGAGTCATGTATGGATACTCTGAACGAAAGTCTAGTAAGAGGCACGAATGATAGAAATGGAATATTCACGCAGAAGGTTCAAGAAGCATTACTAGACCGAGTAATGGACCTTTTGGGCGGATCATACTGGTTACGAAGAGAATAATGACTCAAGGCCCGGAATTGGGTTTATCGACTTCGGCTACCAGAAAGTCGATTTTTCACTCGATACATTCTAAGTTTTACTTCAAACCAAACCGTCTTGTGATTTTCCCAGCCACATTGCGTGTTTTGTCAACACGACTGTCGCCTTTGCACCGTCTTAGCTTAATACCAGAAGCGATAACGCTAAAGCATAAACCTCAGTTCGAACTTGCTATTAGAATAATATAGCCAGGATGATGCCAAGCAACCACAGCAGAGGGAACGGGCAGAATTGTCGTCAAAATGCCTGTTGTCGCATAAAGCCCGCTCTGACCATATCAGCTAATCGACGTGAGAAACCCCATTCGTCAATATACCGTAACAATACTTGCATAGCACTATGTTCGTTCTGTAGCATTCGATCGAGATCTTCTACTTGCGCATTTTTCATATCCATGCCTCATCGGGGACTCTAAGAGTGGATAAGAGCGTAATAGCCTGCCTGTTCAAATATGCAGGCAAAAATGTTGACGCCTTTATCACTTCCAGTTCCGTATGTGGCGAATCAAACTTGCGCTGACTTGGCCGCACCTGGATTTGCTTCTCCCGGACATGCGGAGACATGCATAAAAACCCTTGTATCCACCAAGACGGAATTGGACAGCAGAAGGAATGCCTTTTAAACCAAGAACTTTGGTAATTTGTTGGCATAACGCTCGTGAGATCTTGCCACAACCATCGGAAAAATTGTATCCGTTTCTCGTAATGTCGTCGGGATCGAATATCGCTCACAGGTAGATGAGTCACGGCGCGAGAACTTGAAAAGCATTGTCCCATGCGTGCAGCGTATTTTGCCGCTACTTTGATGTCACTTAAATTCCCCATCCATGTCGTCAGCGCAAGACATGTTCAAAGCTGCTGATTACAATCTTGTACCAAGGGATGCCATGTTTTCCCAACACTTAAGGTGGTTGATGGAAACCTGAAAAAATATGTTGATAGGTCAATGCTGGACTTTGATGTACTTTATATGTTGGAATGTAATATTACGCATGGTTACTTACATGATTACAATCTCAATGACGAATTCATGGACTCACTTGCTCGACAAAAGAAAGAGACTTTACGTGCTCGTCACCGCGTGAATATGCTGGATACTAGCGTAGATGGCTGATGAATAAGAAACCGACCGTTCTTTGGTGTTATTCCGTCAGAGGTATAACGCCCTTCGGGAGTCGTCTTCCCTTATGCACGAAAAGAAAGAATAAATATTGTTCGATGTAGTTGCGGATCGACCTGCGGTAATATCTGAACGTGAAAGCCAGAGAATTTAGGCGATTGTAATAATTGCTAATAGAATGCAAACTTAGAAGGGAAATCATTACTAAAAATGTCAATGAACAACTATATTTCAGGAACCGTTCTATGACTCTTATATTTTTTTAATGGCTGTCGTCCCTCCAATCCCTTCCTATAGCAATCCATAAATCGTTTGGACCTTAGTGCATATTTTCGTATTGTCTGTAGAGAAATAGAATCAAATGCAGATGGAAGAATTTCCTTTAAACCGTTCCAAGTGTGATCGCAATGCTGTTGTGTATATCGTTTAGCAGCGCCTAATATTGCTCAATGAAATTTAACCCAGGATGGAATTTGGAATAGAAGATAACTTTGTGGCCCATGCTCTCAATAGCAGCGGTTGGTTAGCTTTGAAATCTTCTTGCCCTGCAAGAATATGACGCGCACAACGATCATCATTCGTTACAATCTTTTTTTCACACCACAGAATAGTCTAATCTATTATCATTCCATTCATACACATCAAATTCACTACTCTTATCTTCAATCGCATTGTCTGTAAAATAACAATTATCATTAATAAAAACATTGTCGCAAGCTCACGACAGTGTTACCCATTATAATTATTAAAGAGCGAAATATTTTCGTTTTAGAGATCATATTTATCCAAAGTTCATGTGACACAAAATTTACAATTTTGTTAAGGCCTTAAGAAATGGGCCAAATTTAAGATAATTTTACCAGAAAAGGCTGTATCAAATTTCTGCTTACTATATAAATTAACTAAACTTTGAACAGTTATATCTCAAACCACATGTAGCATTTGTCAATTTTCTAAACATAATTTGTTAACATTTATCAAGAAGAACAAAATGACGTTATTAAATTTTGAATTATTAATACAGTAATGCTTGTATTATTGTTTGAAATGCATCGATTTTTGTTTGATACGTACTTGTGTCCCTCACCATACCATAATGGGCTAAAGTATGAACCCTGGTAATGACTTGGGTGATTGGGCAGATTAAATAACATAAGAATGGAATTTTTTCATGTAAAAATACAAATACATACATGGTTTGAATGTTTACCCAGTACTCAAAATTTAAAGGACAATGTGACCTATTATATCTTTTACCGGTTTCTCTGCCACATGGCCTTTTTCTCGCGTTAATCACGGCACCTTTTGATTCTAATTGTCAAATCTTATCTTAATTTTCTAAAATCTACAAGTTGTTAAACATCTTGTTTGTAATGTCTGCTTCTCTTCTTCGTAGACTAAATTTACAGCAATTTATCTCACTATTTTATTACTCAAGACAGAAGATCTTTACTATCTTGAGACAAATAATAAATTTTTCGCAGTGACGCTTTTCCAGTATTATATACTGTGCGCATAAAAGTTTTTGAAATGACATTTTATAAACTATGCAACGAAAACGGTCAGAGATTATTTATAATGTAACAAACCGTTTTCTTTATTGCTACTTAATAGCTTATTTTATTACCATTTCCTCTATTATCTTGTCGGCGTGCTATGAATCAAAATTAACATACATGCTTTTTTCCAATTTCTTCCCATTCTTTCTGAAATGCTCCACAAAAGACCTCAACTATGACTGCTTGCTTTTATACCAGAATTTCACTGACTTGTTTTCAAACCGTGTCTTTAAATTTTGCCAATAAGCTAATCAACTTTAAAAGTTATACTGTAACTACAAAAGTTTTAAGTCTTTTCAATAAAATAAAACGAATTGACAGCCACAAAGCAAGCCTGTTTTTAGTTTAAATTTTATTAACATTGGTTGGATATTTGTGGAGTTTTGAGTCAATATGTCCAATAATGACAAACATCGAGCCAGTTTTATAAATCACTGTATGCATATTAACAATTCTATTTTCCATCATCGCTTGATGCCATCGACAGCGTAATTTGCTTGTTTTTTGAATCGTCAGCGTTATCTGATTACGTTTGAAACCATGTCCAAATATTTGTATCCGAGAATTTTGCATCATTTTTTTAAGTTTGCCATAATTACAGTAAGTTACATACGTAATAATATACAAAAATTTAGTAAGACAGAATGCAGGACTTTTAGAATGAATGTAAAAGATTCGTATTTTACAGCTATGTCATAAATTTTGTTTTATGTTTGTTTTCTTACAAGTTGCAGTTATAGCAATATATTTGACAAGAAGATGAGTTAGGTCTTTTGTCAAAATATTTTGTTAAAAAAATATTCGAGCAAATAGAATTACTGTAGATTACGTATTTCAAGGAGCTGTGACGCGACAAACTATTTATTCTGCATCAGTCACATGATAACCAATTTTTCGACACGACACATTACTATGTATCCGTACAATTGTGTTAATCAGTCTATTTAGCATGAATCAATTTCCTCACCTACTGTCCATAATACATAGAATAATAAAAAGATCATATGGATAGAACCTCTAGTTATCCTAATAATTCTTATGTTTGAACAATCATTTACTTGGATGTCCGAGATTAATATCAATAACATACTAATATACGATCGCGTATATAATCCGTAAAAGGGGGAAGGAAAAAAGAATTAAATATTCTACGTATTGTGAGCGAATAAAATAAGCTTGCGTATATTAAAAGGCTAAGCATTATCTCCAGCAAGAGCATTTACGTGAACTTACTCACAAGTGTCGTATAACGTTTCTCTCCCAGTCATACTGGTGGGAAAGAGTAACTTTCTTGAGCCAGTTGTCTCAACTAGAACCCGTTTTTGACTATAATAAATATTAAAATATAATTACTTGTTTTTACAGTTAATGAGAATTTAACACTCAGAAAAACAATCTTCTTACGAAAAATTTAGATTTAAAAGTTAAAATTTAAACAGTTTTCTTACTACATCGTAAGCATAAATCACAAATTTTCAATCGTATTAAAATCAGGGCTGTTTGAAGCCAATCCAACATTTTGGATACTACTGTGCAAGAAGTTCGTCGCTTTAGCAGTGCGCTTTAGGGCCATCATCTTGTTGAAAGACTCGATGTTTACCCGTAATCGTATTGCATCACGTCAAACAGATTTTCAGTTAAATTTTTCGATACAAAGCACCGCCCATGACATCTGTAAACCGAGTACCATAGCAAGGTTATGCATCAGATTTATAATCCATGTTTGAGTATTCCTGGACATTTGTATAATGGCTGTGTCAGAAAAGGTAACTTTGTTCCAATTTTGTTTTCTGTATTTCATAGCAAACTCCAAACGGCATTTTTGTGTCTATCAGTGAGAAGACACATGGTTTTTGGGATAGCGCAATATTGTAAATTGTATGAAGTTTATTGCGTACTGTACGACAAGGTTCTGTGGTGCTTATTAATATATTGGTGAGAATATTTGTTACTTGCGCCAATTAACCGAGAATTTTCGGGGTGGTTTAGGGTCCAAATATTCTCCATTTTTAAGTTTTTATATTATATAAAGCGAAATAGAAGTTCATCGTGGATACCACCTGCCCATATATTGGTCATCTTTTGCAATTTAAGGCTTTGTCATTGTATTGTTAATAAAGAAAAAAAAGGAGACAAAACAAACAAATGGCGCAAATGACAAAATAATATGGGCGTTCTTGTTGGTGTGCTACATACGCAAGAATAGAGTGTAAAAACCGTTTAGATGACCTTTTTTTTTATTAGACGCGTATTTCGGGTTTATTTGACACGCATTTTATTTCAAAACCATTTTCGCATATTGCACTCAAGTTTATTAAATATCTGCTTATAATTAATTAATTTACTGTGCAAAGTTGTAGATGTTGAATTAAGTATTAGAAGTTAACCAAACACGACTTGGACCATCATCTGAAAATGGGTACTGTTTTTTGAACAATCTACCTCTTACTTTATGCAACATTTCAGTGATGTTTTTCTTTGGTTGTCACTTAGAAACCGACCCACGAGGAAAAAATAATTTCTATTTATTATAAATTAGGACTTTATTGTTTTATGAAAACATTGGTATCTGTTTTACAATAATAATTTTTAAATTTTCGGCTAATCCTCTAATTTTGATTTTAAAGTCAATAATTCGAGACAAGCCACGTTCAAACGGTTGTCTACAAATTTCTCATTAGTATTAGCAACTCTTCTTTATTTTAATTACGGCGGACAAAATCAACCACATCAACCAAGAACACATTGGTTTTTAGTATTTTTAGATGTTTGTTTACAAAAAAACGCTAACATTTCAGATGCCACTTTTTTTTAGCTTGGCATATACTTTTATTCGATAATCAACATTTAATATTTGTGCTCGAATTATGTTTCCCTTTGAAATGGAAAGTACCTAGGTAAACTCGATAAGTCTCTCTGTCCTTTTCTTTTTTTCATATTTAAAACCTTCTTGATAAGACTGACAATTATGCCCAGCCGGTCGTGTCTGACTTATCAAGTTTACCTATCTACTTTAAAAATTTTGACTATTGGCTCAAAATTTTGAGAACCTTTATAAATTCAAAATACTATCCAGCTAGCTTATTAATTTTAATAATAACACTTACCAAGAAGAAATGGGAAATTTGCGTTTTAAGCAACTTTCAAAAAACTCCGACATCCTAAATGCCAATATAGTTAACTCTAAATTATTGTTGCCGCATTTACGATTAAGTTTTATAACACAACAGTATGGCTTGGCAAGTTGTATAATTTATTGTTACTATCAATTTGAAGAGGCAATTATGTCAAAGTCAAGCAATTGTAATTTACTATAATGTCTATAAATAAAACCAAGATGCCATATTCCGCGTTTTTTTAATGAATCTTTATCAAATTTAAGCAAGTGACTTACCAAAAAAAAGTTTACTGATCTAACAAAGTATTAAAGTTGCGATTTAACTATTCTGGACCAGTTTTGCTATTACAGCAAAACTATATCAATACACAAATTTCATTGGACTAACGGGTTCTGAATCACTATTACTAAAGGAGGCAATCAGTTCGTCGACAATCATTTCACCGACAAATATTCACCAACATTATTTCGAAGTTATCCTTTTTTGGTAGTTAACTGTCAGTGAAATGTACTGTCGTGAAATGATTGTCGATGAAATAATATGGACCCATTACTAAAGTATTGACTATCAAAATAGTGAAATGCGAATCAAGGCTCAAATGAATGTGCTCAAGCAGTCCTTTATCAACAAGTCAAAAACTATAAGAAACAATCTTTCATTGATAGGTCACTCGATCAATGGAGGCCTTTGTGGGAAGCTTTTATGTTAAATTTACTTTCCTTACGTTTTTTTTAGTTTTCGTTTCTTTCTTGGTTCATCATAAGTTGTGGTTTATTTTTGTTCTTGATAAATTTTATAAGTAATTTTTTTTATCTAGATGTTCCTGGAGAATTTTGCTATCATTGATTTTAAAAACATATTGAGCAATCTTTTCTCCTTGAGCTTTCTTTAAAATGCTTCTAATGGTGTTGTCGATATTAATCTAAGCAGGCTTATCAGACTGTATATTTTTGACGCGGTTTTTATATCTAGAGTGATATTCAGTGACTTGTTATGGGGTTGAAACAAGTTTACCCGAACTTAAATACGGTTTAACACAATGTCAGATGTGAGCATTATCACAGCGGCAAAGTAATTTATTAAACAAGACAGACTATGCTTAAACAGACGTTTTAGATTTTACTAAACAAAATTAATTTTCTTTCTACATTTACGTATTACGCCGTTTAGTAACAGACTACATATATTGATTTTATCTACGGAAACAAAAACATAGTTTATGTTGACATACTGAGGTGCTTGAAAGTATTTTTTGAACTTATATCTATATTAGAAGAGAAATAAATGTATTACGATTAAGCCTACAAACATACGATGGAGCAAAATGTGACGATTGACATTATAACCAATCAATGATCGGATCTTTCCCAAATATCACATATTAAGAGTAAGCTTTTATTCAAGGGTCGATAGCTAAAGGATTTGTATGGAACTTAGTTAGGGATTAAATTAGGGGAAAGACAAACCAGATCAAACTAAATCTGTAAATTAAAGAAAAAAAACGAACGACATGGTGGAAACAGAAGACAATCTAAAGTGGCTTATGCTAAAAAGTCTGCTACCTTCATCATCTTATACAGAAAGAACGTATTGTGTGCTATAAACACACGAAACAAGGAGAGACGTTGGTTTGTGGCGTTTTTTTTTTCTCTTTACTGTGTCGCTGTAAACAATAGAATAAAGTCAAAAAAAAATTTTTTTTGATACAGCAACGAAAGCCTTTGTTAACCTGACATTGTAAGATACACTGTTGTCTATTTCATAATAAGATTATTTTTATAATTGTTCTTTTTGATAAAAGGGAAACTGCGCGAATATTAAGACGATAGATTACATTAAAATCATTATGAATTGTTTGTAAGCAGCGGATAAGTTCTAACCGCGTCATCTATTTATGGAAGGTAAGTAAATAAATCTTTCAATTGTTATAGAAGTTCTAACGGACTCTAAATGTCAACAATACATATCCGCTTTGAAATTTGCAATACAGATGTAATGCAATGCATTCTTGAATATAAGATTATTTTTAATTCTTACGATTGTAAATGTATTCGGATTTGGATTAGAACAAGATTATTTAAAGTTGATCTTGCATAAAAAATTCAATGCTATTCTTAGTATTCACACAGAACAATTTTTTTTTTCATTCCTCATTAATGATTATGCATAAACAGTGTTCGCATACCTTCAAATCGTTGCATTCAGTAATTGTCCTTTATTCGCGAGCTAGTACATATCAGTCAATTCATTGAATGTGGCTTTGTTTGCGTTACACAAATTCAGGAGATTAGTGATAAAGCTATAATAAACATGTATAGATAATGAGCTCAAGCTCTACCAATCATTGAAAGATTAGTTAACTGCAACAGCATTTATTTTATATTAAAAGTTTGCCAAGTTATGCAACTATATTGAGGAACCACTACATTTGCTCAAATGGCTCGTTGAATAATCAGATACATTGATAACGCGTTCGGGTTTACTTGTTAACCGAAAGTTTTCATTTTACACTGCTTGAGAACATAATCGAAGTTTTTTTACAATTATTGTTACATTGTTTGTTACGTTCGTTTATTATCTCTCTTTGTTGCCGCTGAGGAACGAAGAGCTGCCTCATTATTATGCATTATTAATGTTCTCGCAGCTGATAAGAGCGATCTGATTCTATGAATAAAATATATCTGGCAATTTCGAAACTGTAGCTGGAGATTGTATCTAACAAAGATACGGACGATACACCCAATTATTGCAAAGAATTTAAATGTTAGACAAATAAAGTACGTTCTCGGCCGTTCTGTGAGGAGCGAACGTATGCGCAATATGTGTATTTACGTTTAACAGAGAATCAACATCATGATGTCATGAAAACTTTAATTTACGTTTTGTAAAAATTTACAATTACTTTCAGATTGGCTTTGTTATCGGTTATAATTAAGTATGCAACTTCAAGTTTATTTTGTATTTTCTTTTTTGGATATATTAAAAAAGAAATCCAATAGAGAAAGTTCTGAGAACTAATGAGCAAGGGGAATGAACATGATTTACAAATACAGCGAATAAATACAGCAATATAATCGCTGATATACAGTACATGTAAATAAAGGGATTTTTAAGGAATATGTTATTTTTGACATCGGGGCATCGATTATGCGTTGGCGCTCTTTGCTCTTTCCTAGCATAGTAACCGAATATGTGATGACAGTGAATTTGAAATTGTAACATGTTGGTTTTTATGAGATACATGTAACAGTCAATTGTATTAGCCAATGTCTGAGCGTGAATGTGCATTTCTAGGCGAGTTATCTTGCATTCTGTTTGTATGCTTATATTTCTTTGTTCCCTTTTCTCTGCGCTTTTTCTCCTGTTATTTCTGACGACTATTTTTGTAGGTCTGCAATTACGATTTAGTATATTCAGCCCTTTTTAGAAACATACTGCAATAACAATGTGCTTCTTGCCGAGAGTCTCTTGTCTTTTGGATTTACTCCTGAATCCTATCCAAGAACAAGTGGTAGTTGATCGAACATTGTTGAGTCATACACTTCTCGTATGCACATAAATTATTACATACAAACTATAACTACAATGGTATACAAGTAAACTTAACCAACCAAGTATATACTTAGAATTGGTTTATTTGTTGACTGTGTATATAGTTTGTATATTCGTATGGATAATGGCAAATGCACTTCGCGAAACTAAACAATGCCCTTGAACAAAAGGTCGAATATATATGGTATACTTGGAATCCATAAATATTAAGAGGGGTTAATTTAGGAAATGATAGGTTGATGTGATGTAAATAACATAATGGTGATAACGACCCATGGATTTGGTTTAATTTGCATTACATTTTTTGGTCATTTATATGTTGAGTGACGCAATCACAGCTAAACTAAGCAAAGAGAGAGGAGAGCGTATTAATGTGACAGGGAGTAATCGATAATACTCATAGATCTTCATTATTATCACGTTAATTAAACCAACAATACATCATTCTTGTATCCCCCATCGTACTTGCTCATCCCTTTCAATCCAGTCAATCATAAACCAAAGACTTCTCCTCTCCCCAAAGCTACCGAGAAGAATAGTGCTATTGTTGCTGATTTGTAGACGTGGGAAACACATTCTGCAGTTACATCCATGTCATGGGACTTTAACTGCGAATTAGAAATTTGAATCTTAGAAAAGTAAATTATAATTTACAAAATGGCGGGAAAAACGACAAGACTAAAAAGTGTAAATTAAGACTGTTCGGCGTACGTAGTATAAACAGTCTTTATGTGTAATATAAAAAGTTGCCAATAACACCCATACATAACTACTTCCATCTCTATTAAAGTTGTCTTACATTCCATTTTATCCTATTACGTTCCAGTCCACTATCTCGTCTCTTTCTTTATTTCTCTACTTTTTAGTAGTTTCCATTCATACATTCAAACCAAATACATCCTTTAACTGCGCAAAATTATTAATCCGGCATTGAAGGAGGTTGGTTTTACAAATCGATTGATGGGCGGTTTGCTAATTTTCCATTTCTGATAAAGTTTATAATTTGGACGAAAATGGAGAAGAAAAGAATTCCGATCAAGTATTAATTGCAGTTTCATTTAATTATAGATCACTCATTATAGAGTAATTCGTACGTATATATTCAAGACCGCTGTTACCAAGTATGATTATCTGTCAGTTATTTATAGCTCAATAGCGTACTGATATTTAACATTGCATAATCATATTACAAATACATACAATCGGAAACCCAGATTTTAAGAAAAACCCTCATTCAGCCAACTCGCTTTTGCATTTATGGCGCGAGCTACTAGAAAAGGGGGAGAAGGGCCGATTGACCGCTGAATTTCAAATGGGACTTTTAGTCAAGATGGATTTCGAACAGGGAGAAATGGTTTGACATTTGCAAGTTTGATGCGGATAAACGGCTTAGAATATAAGTCTTAGATTAGGCATCCCATTGCTATAATAAGTGAAGGAATACCGATTAGAAATAGGCAACGGTATGAAATGACCTCTTTTTTTTTTGAAGGATACAGCGATAAGGTATGTACCCCGAAATTACGGCTTAATCATTGATAAATAAAATATATTGATAATGGAAGAAATACTGCGTTATTGTATGTATGTATATTGTTGTACAGTATAATTTGCATTTAGTATTACATAAACAGAATGAATATTACAGATATTACAGCCACACAGACATATAAATAATACCGCAATAACGATATACAACGTACATTATATACACACGTACTCCATTATTAGTCCGTATATATTTACATATATTTACATCAATAGTGCATACATTTTTAATTTAAAATTATACTTGTAGATATTCATTCAATATTTGTGCCCCTTGGGCGGAGTATCGCAGGGCTTGTACGCATGTTACCTCAACTTTCTAAATATGGGTTTTGTTATCAATCTGCATCTTCTATTGTCATAAACATCGCACACTCATATATAATACTCCCCAATCGGTATCATTGCCAACCTCTCAAACATTATCGTTCCATATCAAACACAAGCACCCCACCCACTCTCTGAACCCTCACTCTCTCTGAACCCTTACTCTCATTGCGCAATAAGGTTTGTACTACTCTCTTTAATATATAAATCGCTACCCCTCGCGATCATTGAATTCTTTGTCTCAAGACGTCAAACACAAACAACAGACGAAAAATTGCCACTTTTCCCCTTTCCTTACTTACTGTTACTTCAATATTAATCCACCGCAGCTGTTCCCTTTACTCTAATATATTAATCTAATACAATGAACAACAACGATAATAGCGTTAAAGTACATCGTGCATCCACACAAACGAGGACGTCTGAACAGAGGGCTCCAACATTCGAATACATTCCTCATGACCAGCTCCTCTCGCTATTCGAACAGAAAAAGGGAACACAGTACTTTATCCCCGAAGGATTCGAACCGGTTCTGATCCCAAGTGGAACTCAAGTACAGCCGGTGGCGAACCTTATCGTTCACAGCCGACAAGCTCAACGACAACAGCAACAGCAACAGCAACAGCAACTGCTGCAACTGCAAAAACGTGAAGTAGTTCAGGCGGTAGAAATACCAACAACTTCCCAATCATCGTCATCATCATCTTCTCAATCATCAGCATCTGATGTACGATTCCCTTCCTTGGTTTTGACCCGTCCCCAGGGACCGGCTCCAAGGGGTGGGTCAAATACAGCCAAGACAACGAAACCAAAGAAACCGCCGAGACCACCGAATGCTTTTATTCTCTATCGACGAAGCAAACAGCCTCAAATTGTCGCAGCGAACGAAGGTATCTCTAATAACGAAGTATCGAAGCAAATAGGGGAAATGTGGCACAAGGAACCTCTCGAGGAAAAACTCAAGTACCAGCGCCTGGCCGACGAAGCGAAATTGGAACACATGAAGAAATATCCCGAATATAAATATCGACCACGACGGCCGCATGAGAAGCGCCGCCGAACCAAGCGCACACCTGCGCCGACGACGGATAGTAATAACTCTTCCGCAACTCGAAGAGCTTCTATAGATACAGTGGCCACGGTAGACAGTAACGAGTATGACTCCCGACGAGGTTCCCTTGCATCCATTGACGAGACCATGGCAATGTTTGAAATGGAACCGATATTCGAGACTGCTCCGGTGGCAGTCTCGACTTCGGAATCACCCGACTATGTTTGTGTTGACACCGCTTTTGACATAGGAAATTTGTCGACGATGGTGGATAGTGTTACTCCCGAAAACGAGATGATTGCAGCGTACGGGTACTTTGAATATCAGCCAAATGGATTTGGGTATTATGGATATGATGAGTCGGATTTTGGATTGTTCCCCTCGGTCAATGAGCATCTGTTTGAACAGCAGCCTTTGGCTACTTTTGACATTTAATTTATATTTCTTTTCTCTTTTTTTCTCTTTTTAATTAATGGTGAGTTTGTATTCGAGAAGTAATTGGTGTTTGTGTGATAACAGCGATTGTAAGATAACGTGTAGTATTAACGAGTTCAAACATACACTTTCTTTTCTTTCTTACGCTTTTGCACAGCCTTTAATTATTTATTCGTTACTTATATTTATATTCTTTTCTTTTTCTTTTCTTTTTCTTTTCTTCTTTCTCTTAATAATACCTTCGAGCCTTATAAGATTTAACTACAAAACGATGGCTCATCTAATCCTAATAATACTCAACCGAAATCCTGACGTACGAAAAAAATACTCCGGCAAAGGGAAACAAACAGGCGGACTATATCTTCTTATTATTTCTTATTATCTTCTCTTTTCCTCTTAAAACGTAATAATACCATTCAATGGACAGTTAAAGAACACTAAAAAATTTTGGTTGGGTTTTTTCGTTTTTTTTTTTAGTATTGGGTGATTGTAGTTTTTCCTTTTTCCTTTTTCCTTTTTCCTTTTTCCTTTTTCCTTTTTCCACCTTTTCTTCTTCTTGTTTATTCTTTTTTTTTTTTAAACAAAATCGTTTCTCTCTACAAAACTTTTGTTATTCTTTCCCCTTCCCCTTTTGAATTGGTTTTGGTTTTGTGCGCTGTTAGTGGGCTTTTTCTTCTCCGGATGGTGTTATCTAACAAAAAATTCAAAAAAAAAAGTTAATTGTACATATATAGTATTGTAAAACAAAAAAAAATCACCCGAAAATTTTTATTCTTCTTCCCGTTTCTTTTTTCTTTTTTACGAAAATTCACACTCCCCGAATACCCTAATATTCTTTTTACCGAAATGTAAAACACACACCCATTCTTGTACAACGATATTCTATTGTAGGTCTGTTTGTAGTTTGTCCCTTTGGTTTTGCTTTAGTACATAAAAGTATTCAAGTACAGAAACACCCGCCTTTAATATCTGACAAAATTTGCCTTACTTTCTTGTAACTTTTTTTTGTTTCAAGTAAACTTGTAAAGATTTAAAATAAGAATGGGAGAGATGAGGAGAAAGATTGAATGCGAAGGGGGAATTGAATTGGTGGTGCGAAGTGGGGGTTGACTTGGGGGGTTTGACTTGGGGATTGATTGGCTTGGGGGTTGGGGGGAGCGAGAGTGACTATGAATGAACAGCGACAACCATTTGATCATGATCTCGTTTCTGATTGGATATGCAATGGCGTAATATTTATCAATTCAGGGCGTTTGTCGAACGTTAAAAATTTTTTATCTGAACTTAATAAACCAGTTTCAGCGGCTTCCTTTCTCACACTCCACACCCTATTCCCGAGTTTATTTAAGACCTCCATATAGTTTAACCCTAATTCTCCTGCTTTCCCCAAATCGGTACATTGAACCCTACAAAAACTTCAAATGTCAGTTTGTCTCACCAAATGAAACTCAAGGAGGTTAGACAAGTTGTTTGCTACGAACCCTCCAGGAACAATACCAACGGCGATGGAAAATATGACGAGTGGCGAGTAATTTTGGTGTTAATTAGATGAGTGCAGTTAATGTTGTACCATACATGTAGAAAGCAGCAAACGTAAACTTTGACAGAGACGTTGAGCGAATGATGAATAGAGCACGGAAAACTAGAGATAAAAAGGACTGAACGAAGACTAGAAGAACATGTTGTAACAGCCCGGAAAATCATTAACATAAAATGCATTTTTATTCCGAGCGTGTAGATGGTAAGTAGAAGATTACACATCAACTCTACGGCCCTCATTGTTAGTTAGTATTCCAATAATAATGACGCAATATCACCAACTGTAGAACATTAATATCGTTGTCCTTCTCATATTAACAATAACACTAACCAGATGGTTGGTCAGTCATAGTGTTCTTAGTATTGTTAATAATTGTACAACCCAATATTTTTAATCCTTGGCATGTCATGTGGCTTGGTTACAAGAGTGACGTCTGTGAAAATTTTTTCCAATTCGCTAATACAACGGCTGATTTCACGGGAGACAAGCTTTGCCAAAAGGAGAGGTAGAAGATTCTACTCGAGCGAAAGAATGTCTCGCAGATCTTATGTTAAACGATTTCTATAATTGAAGATCAAGGTGAGTGGAATGCGTGCTCTTTCGGGAGAAGTGGAAACTGACTTTATTGCATCTGATGGTTGAACGATATATCAACAATGTACTGATTTTGGACGATTTGTTCGAAAAACATCGACAGCTTTAATAGACAAAACCTTTCCCGATCTTTTCAACTCGTCGACTTGTCAAAGATATCTACTTTAACCTTTCTGTTGCCTGTACGTATTCTATGTTGATATTGAGCCAAAACATATCTAAAGCCGAGTTGGCTATATTGTTGCTTCTGATCATAAGTTAACAGTTCGGGCACTTTTCTGGAGTTGTTCAAGAATGATCCGATCACGCCAGATTTGCCGAATGCCTGTATGTAGGTTTGGAGAGTAACGAACGCAGTTCCCAACAAGTCTGTTTCAGACAAAATCACGTTGCGGTGATATCCGGGATATAAGTTGCCAAACAATGGCCTGTGTCCGACGGAAGAAAAAGAGATGCGAAAGAAGATTCTTACTACATGAGAAACTGCATACTTGTCGCCATGGGAATTTTTAACCGTTTCGGTCAAATTTCCGCCATTTCTCGATTTGAGGTTGAAAAGATGCGATTTGGCATGTAGATTGATTCTTGCCGCAACATCTTATTCACATCGCTAAGCCGAAATTCTTAATCAGACTAAAAATCGTTATAATTATCTTAACAATTCGGAAGATTAGTCACTTAAACCCGCATCATCATGATGCGGTTGGGTAAATATAACATATTTTATTACTTGTTTTAACAAGTCTTGCTGATTAACAGTTGGTTTACAACAGCTCTTTGAAATTGGGAAATTTATGAAATTCAAATGAACAGAAGCTAACAAGGAGAGAAACAACCGACATGATCTAAATTGCACTTCCGATCTCTTGAAGACAAGTCCGATGACAAGCACCATACGACCCGACAATTACATTCATCGTGATGTGTAGATCTAATCAGTCCAAGAATCATCCCTATACTCTATACTGCATATGACGTCTAACGTTCACTTTTGTCTTGGGGGAGGGGGTTGCAGCACAACTCATGTAATTTGTTTTAGTAGCACGTTGCCAAGGATGCTCTTCATTTACCTCCAGCAAATAACAACTCCTCCCTCTTCTGGTTCCAACGACTCGATGACTTGTGAATAGAGAGCATTATTAATTTTCTTTTGATCGATGTACGACCTCATTGTTCATCACAATATTGCCGTTATTAGACAATAGTACGACATAATCCCAATGTTTATGCAATATGCCATGTATTTTAATTAACACCACATACGTTGCTTGCCGATAATTTCTCCGATCTATTGAAGAGATACGAGCCCCCGAAAACAATCATCAAGGTGATATAAATAGACTAACAAACGTATGGTGATAACATTTCTGCTTTATTATATTTCTCATTTTGGTCACCGACAAAAAAAACCAACCGATTTATGGGAATATTAAGGCGGATTTTTAATTGACCCAATAAAACACCAGACAGTCGATGGACAAAATAGTCGACCAAAACAACAAAATCGGGATCAGCATATGAGTAACCTAATACATCCTGCATTATCGAGTATACAGTCATAATATATTTTAAGTTATTATTAATGTTCATATTGTTATCATTCATAGTAAATATAATTAGTAATGACCTGCTGTTTTCATAGTAGATACGCTTGCCATTCTTGTTTCTTACCTGATGGTCCACAGATGCTTTTGCATTCAGTGATATCTATCTATCTATCATTATTATTATTATTATTATTATTCTTGCTATTTATTGTTAACCTGCCTGATGATTAATCAATTACTAATTAGCCTTTGCACACAATCAAATTTATACATTAAACCTCCGACAAAAATCCGGCCTAAACACGTATCATACTCGTTCAGGAGAACTTGTCTATATTGGATATATTGAAATAGTAGTCGTCGAACGAAATTGGAAGAGAAGGGAGGTTTTATCCGAATACTGGCAAAATGAAGTTGGGAAGACTGTCATGTGGGATAGCATAGTGGAAAGTGGGGGGAGGGATAGGGGGCTTAAATTGTATAGATCTGCCGTTATAGACTTTTTTTTTATTGGACGATTTTATGCTCCTACTGAAATATACATATTGAGGGTCATCTGTTCTTCATATCCATTTCGAGTATGGAGAATGCATTTCTATTAATATATGATCGCCCTAATAGAACAATAGTAATATTGAGAATGCAGGAATATCTGATTCAGGGTCTACTCAGTTTACTCGAAGAGGGCTTGTTGCTATTTGACTTTGTTCTAGACTTTTCCTGAAATAGATGCGTCGAGCTTATTAGCCATATAACAAGTAAATAATATAATAATAATAATAATAATAATAACAAACACATGATCATATATCATACATCGTTATTACGGATTTTCGGAATTTGGAATCCTCGGGAAGTCACAGGGACGTAGCATTAACCAAGTATGGCACTGGTATTACTCGTATTGCCTAAAAATATCTTTGACTCTTATCGTTTGGTTGATCCGGCAAATTTAGTAAAATTAACAGATTTTAGCCAATCGTTTAGAATGTGGAAGAAATGTGACACACACGGAACTAATATACAAACAAATGGTGACCTATTTTTCAAACAATGGTCCCGATTAGTGAGCGAATTGCCTATGTCTGCAATATACGGTCATCCATTTAATAATCTCTACGCCTAAAGAGACTTATATGTCTACTCCACATCTTTTCTTGACGCCAACTCATTTATCTCAAACACTTTCTTCGACATGTAATTAAACAAAAATGACGTCCAAGAACAATACATAGCCGAGGATACGTTACATGTAATCCGATGGGCCAGAGTATACGCGCGCCATCTCTTGATACCATACTACGAAACACACGGAGAAGGCTTATTTCTACAAATTGGGATAAAATGAAGGTTGAGGGTGTCGTACGCGTATGAAATGCATGTGGCAGAAAGAACAAACGGCTATCTATTGTTGTTTGAACCATAAACAACAACAATCTTATAATCAATATAGCACCAATAATCCACATAATATAAATTATAAACAAATCTATTCACTATTCCATTCACACAATAAAACAATCATTGTTCTTGTCTCTCTGTTTACATTGTTTCTATTTGCTAATCAATCATCAAGGTTTTAACCCCAAACCCGAGCCTGAACTCTAACTTGTGTAATCTACATAATGCGTATTCGAACTATAGTTTCATATGACGAGGCTTATTCTGCAGCAGCATAGGCCATACCAGAAACGCTAAAAGGAAACCAGAATAAGCACGAACGAGTATTTGTGATGATTATTTTAGCAGGTGAAACTGGTATCGCTGCTTACCTGATGACGATCTTGTCGTTTCTAGAAAGATAGAACAATTTGATATGCTTTGTGGGACGATCTGATTGTTGCTTTATTAGCCTGCGATCGTCAAAAGTAAGGGAGGGGGTTCAGTAAAGATGAGGGGCAGCGCAGAACACTTGCAAACAACACAGTACTACTAACCTAATGCATAAGGTTGTGACTAAAAACCTAGAATAACAGCTAGTATCATCATCAGCTGCTACTTTAATTTAAGACACTTTTTTCACCTTTGCTTCTCTTTATGGTCTAGCATTCACTTGCGATAGTAAATCTGATACAAGTACGGGTTGATCTAAATATAATTAACCCATCAACACTATACTATGTGACCTGGCTGCAGATATCATCTGACTTGATACTCTTGCAGCGAAAATACGCCTGTAAACCTATATCCGTTCTCCGTATACGATACGTTCTCTGTATATGATATACGCTTTGTATCAAAGTTCTCTCTCTTCGCCACTCTCTCTCCCTTTATAAACCATAGGTACCCGCATTAATTAATAAGTATTCATTTGTGTATGTGTATCCAAATCTAATAAATCGAATTAGTTTTATTCAAGCATGCTTATCAATTGATCATCCTCAAACGGTATGGAATGTCAATCAATCGGTATCAATGGGGACGTTTTAATCAGGGGAGTGTTTCCTGCAGGTACATCCCCTGAAATTTCTCGGTAACAAAATAGATTTCTAGTTACTTGCCAGAACATTTCCTATTGGGTTGAGTTAGCAAATAAGGATTGTGCATAAAACAAAGTTAATAGGAATCATAAGGTCACAATGTTTTTTATGAAGCCCGTATTAGTATTAGATATCACAAACAGTTTGTATTCCCATTCATTCCCTTTCGAAGATCAAGAATACGGACTCTTTTCTGACCAAGTATAAAAAATGATTATATGTACGAAACTATTTTGTATTATGGTTAGATCTCGAAAAGCAGGCAGGCCTTGATCCCGAACAAAATTAACTCTCGAGATCCTTTCGTTTATTATTATTTGGTGAGAATTTCTTACAAGTCATGTGATTAAAGAACGTCAATATGTTCAAGGGGAAAAATATATATATGTAGAATAATTACAAACCATAACCCGCATAACTACCACTAAAGAATAAAATAAAAATGATAACTAAATACAAATATACGTCCAGAGTTGTTGTTGAAATATATTTATAATAGTTGGAAGATATGTATAAAGTATTTATAATTGCGCAAGAAACAAACTAGGCATAATAGATTGTTTCTATGTTTATATGAATGTCTTTTTGTACAAACTAATTATTATAACCAAGAAGGACGTTGGAATAGATAGAGTTTATACATAGATCCATCTCGAACTAAACCGAAATTGAATGTCAGTAAAAACTAAAAGTTTATCCAAATGAAAGCGAGATTAAACAAAAAAAAAAAAAATCAAGAATAGCAGAATAGGAAACGCAGAACATTGTACAAAACCCTAATATAAATTAGAATTGGGAAACATGAGACCAGCTCTCGGGATAGCTGTGAAGTGAAATGTCATAAACCGACTAGATAGACAATAACACCACTAACACGAATTACACTAATCTATGTTAAATTATCCATAATCACCATCCCGCATCGGCTATGCCGACCGACATTTGATCCCGCATCTTAATATTAAAACTACTGTCGAATTTTGGTCTCCTTATTCTCCACACACCAACGCATTACTGGAACCCGATATATTCTTACTTCATCCCTGCGGCCCGTATCCATACACAAGTTGTTGCATCACTATATCGTTCACCCGCTCCAACTGATCTATCCTACTAATCAGAGCTAAAACAGCTGGATCTCGCAGATTGTCGTCAGTGAGATAAATAGGTTGGTCATGGCTAGCTTGTAAGTGTGGTTGGATAAGGTAAAATGATTGGCCTTGATAGTTGTTGTGAGAGGATATCGATGATTGAAGAATTCCTTGAGTCATCTCCTGAGTCATATCATGGGCAATATCGTGAGCAATATCATGGGCCATGTTATGAGCCATATCCTGGGCCATATCATGCGGCATATCATGAGACATACCATGGACCATATTCTGTGATATATCCTGGGGTATGTCATGCGGCACGTTAATACTATCCATATGTGCTTGATCTATAATAATATTGCCTATCATGTTGGTGCCTTGTGTAGTAGCCTCATCGACTTGCATACCATCACTCGTACCGCCGTCATGTATACATAGCTCATCTCTGCGTATTATCTCACCAACCAAAGGCATTATATTACCAGTTAATATGGATTCCTCTGTAGATGAATAGATAGCAAGCTCGTCTCCGTGTTGTATAAATGGAGAATGGTGTATGGAAGATGAGTTTATGTCAGGGGTAAAGTCTGCTGGTGTTGATAGATACGGCGTTGTCATTGGCGTTGTCATTGGTGTTGTCATTGGCGTTGTTTGAGCAGAGTCTGACGAATTATTGCTGGTTGGGATATCAACAATATTGTTGTTGGCATTAGTAACGCTACTAGCAATAGTGCTGCTGCTATCACTTCGTTTCATAGTAACCGCACTTTGTTCACTTGCCAATCTCATAATATATATATTTTTTGCATCCCTTGAGAGACTCTTGTAATATGACTTTACTCTGTCATCTTCCTCATGCCACGCGAGTTTTGACATGGATGATACCCGCGGCATTGTCAAGTATCGCCCACTGTCTTTAAGATAACGGTGAAAAACTGTACGATAAGCAATGAATGCATTTGCTGGTTTGGCTGGTTTACCAAGTTTATTCTTGGACAATGCTAGTTCTGCTAAATCACCCGCAGTTACGTCGGGTGGGAAAGGAGGACGAATGTTCGGTGCTCTCAGACCGTCGTCGTCATATATTGTGAATGTTGGAGGAGCGCTTGAATACCCTTCTCTAGCGTACGATTGCATGTCAAATGATTTGTAGAGTGTATGTAGGATGTTGGTGATCTATTGTCTTTTGCTTTTGTGGATCGTCGGTTTAAAGAAAAGTATTATATTAATTATATAGTGAAGTCAATGGCAAGATTTATATTGACTGAAAATTATTAAGGAGTTGGGCGATAGAGGAAGCCATTTACACCCAATGAATTTCATCACTTTTTATGTGACTCGGTCCCTTTATCGCTGTACCACAATAACGCTTTTTTGGTTACCATATTTGACATCACAATACGGGCCATTTTGTCTGGGCAGACTATATAAGTCTTCCGCTTGGTCATGCCCTAATAGGATTATACTAACCGGTACACTTACATCAAAATAAACATAAATTACCGGTTCCTCCCGACGAGAAATGTTTCACTTCATTTGTTATGCGAACGTGGCATCCATCCGGTGACTGAATTAGGGAAAGGATAATTGTGAAAGCAAGACGAGCTTATACTCGTTCTCAAAATTAGCAGTTTATTACAACTCCGAGCGTCACCTGAGCATAATAATAAATAAACAAACAACCAATAAATAAATTTTGATTACTAATAATTAGTCCGGATAATAATGAGCGAAGCGAGACCCTTGAGATTGAAAAATGATAGGTTGTCGGAAATTAATGTCGACGAAGATTTTTTTAGAGAAGTTCATGTGAGCCATTGTTATCGTTATATCAGTTAAGATTTTCGAGGTTAAAGCCTAAAGGAACTACTTTTTTGATCAATTGAGGCATCAGGCACTTTGACTAGTAGTTCCAAGAATTCCTGCCATAGACCACAACTGGTTTTTCATATACTGATCACTATGTGTGCCCGGGAGGCAATCATTTCGTCGACAATCATTTCACCGACAAATCTTCACCAACATTATTTCGAAGTTATCCTTTTTTTGGTAGTTAATTGTCGGTGAAATGAAATAATACGGATCCATGTGTGCCATAGTCTAACTTTCGCACGCTTTTAACAACGAACTCGTCGACTTAACTTCATTGATATCAAAAATTACGGTTTTTCATAAGCAGTAACCGTTCATGACTCCAATTGGTTAATTCAATCTTGTGTGTAGATTCCTCAGACTTCTCGTAATGCAGCTTGTGGATTCAATGTTGCAGTATTGTTGTTTGCAATGCGTAAAATTTTTGTAGAGAAGTCAAGTAACTTTGTATTTTAGCCGTCATATTCAGGGCTTTTTCATAATCCTGGCTTCTACATCTTCTGGTTCATTGATTTGACAGCTAACATGCCTCTTATGTTTATCCCTAATATAATGCATATAATTATACATGTTAGGTATTTGCTTACATATAATCTATAGTAAATGAACCGTAGTTAAATAAGCATCTGAAAAGAAGCTATTATTTTTCTTAAAGAGCTTTCAATTACTACTATTGTACCAGAACGTAATCTGATTGAGTATCTGTAGCATAACTTGAACAAATTAAATATTTAATAAATGTGGGATAATTTAAATTATAATTAGGTCTATTAAAGTAAAAATATCTGAACCTAATTAATAGCAATGTATGCCTGGAAAATATTAATAGAAAAATTAATATGATCAAAAAGGTAGATGCATCGACTCTTCATTTTCCGAATATTTGGCATGGTAGCTTGTCTCCATTCACTAATCAACGAAGTGCTGCTCCTCTAACTGAAAATAAAAAATAATGATAATAATTATTTTAAACACTCACAATCAAAAGAATATAGAGAAAACGATAATAATATATATATATTTATCTGATGAGGAAACGGATAGCTAATCTTTTTCTGAAAGTAATTATTGAATTCAATGGGTAAAACTTATAATAAAGAAAATGTTTCCAATAATAATAACCTAAAGAACCTATTACTATTGGGTAAAACCAGATTTTTGGAGGAAAAAAAAACAAACTTCAAACTTTTATTTCAATAATCTGAGGTATCTATCTTTAAGCTTAACTAGCAAATATTTTATCTTGTACTAATTTGCCTTGAAATTTACTATTATGCATTTTGTACAGCACATATTATTCCATGAGAAAAAGCTTTATTAAACAGTTACTTACTGTTATTACTTTAATTGCAGGATCCTGAACAGGTTAACGTTCACCTTAATAATTTTATTCTGATATTAATATTGTTATTATTTTCAATATCAGTAAAGAATAGATGATATGATATGGCTTTAACATTACTATACAAATTAGGTTACATATAATAATAATAATAAGAGTTTTTTTACTGTCATTCTTGAGTTTATGAGAATAAAACCATGCAACATACAGACAAAACACTCTAAGTGTACACCCTCTAAATGCATGGTTTGGCACGGTCCTGAGCTTGGGACTTAGTGATAAATGTACCCCCCTATATCCTGCACATGCAATGATTTCCCATCCATATAAACTATTATTTTCTAAATGCATGCACGTGATCAATATTTGGAGTACATATATGTATACTCTTACTTCCTTGATTCTACAGCTTATAACAAGAATATATATAATTTACTGTTGATTTTCTTTTTCAAAAAGCACTATTAATTAGCTTCAAACCCATACAAAACTATTGTCATTCACATGGTACACATGAGCAGGAGAGATTTTTGAAAAAAAAAAGACTTCATATGTTTTACTAGTAAAAAAAAATATGAAATCCGGTAATTTATTGTAGAGTAGTGTATATGGACTTTCATTCTATGTTTGTGACACTGCTGATATCTAACCCCCCAGTATATCAGGTCACTGCGCAAAAAAAAAGTCACTTTACCATGCTCACAATGAAAGACTGCGACGGAACCTTTCGTCAAAAATGCAGCATTTGCGACTGTCGGGAATTTGCTCCCCAAGATAGCGAAAAAATCACTTGCCGCTGCCAACATCACGCCGCCGACCATGCGGCCTTGAATATAATGCAGCCAGGTAACGACTTTGTGACTCGGGCGTTGGGGACATAGAATAGTGTGTATATAGGGTAGAGTGCTTGTATTCCATTAGTATTAGGCGTGGAGTAGAGGAAGAGGAGTACCAATGGGAGAGGAACATCTTGGAACAGCAAGAGACTTATTGGTTGGGAGAAAAGAAAAAGTGGGAGATGCTTTAGTTGCTCGGCCAGGTAGATAGCGAGAGCAGAGTAGACATATCAATATTGTTGAATTCCTACATTTTGGAATGTTCAGTATACTGCTTGCGTTGACTAACTCGTGCTTTCTGTGCTCACACTTATATAACCTGTGTTCCGTTGATTTACCTGCTTCTGTTCTGTCGATGACCCATCGGGACCATATGTGCATTCGCGTGTTCGCCATCATTTCCTTTCGTTCTGCACTAAACTATTTTAGCAAGCAAAGCCGATTATAAGAGAAAATCTTCAAACGACACATCTGGAACACCAAATACAAAACTCAGACGAAGCTCAGCTATTGATGACTCATTTACATTCCCATGTTATTATGAAAGCAAAGTGAAAAATAATATGTCTCTTATGCCGGAATATGCCCTCAGTTTTTGACAAAGCATTCTTAATACTGCAAGAAGCAAAAAAAGGTCCAAACAGAGAATGAATACCACAAATTGGAGACAGTTTATCAATGTTATCTCATGCAGAAGCTAGAACATTTTGTTTCAAAACATCCAGAAATGGAATTGAAATGTGTGGATACTCATACAAGGCCAGTTCTTAAAGGACAAAAGCCAGACATTACATTCTATATACAAAATCAAGTTCTTACTGATATTAATATAATCTCCATTTTGGAGATCAAAGTCACAGAAAAAGAGGATGACTGGGTGCAAAATCCATCTATTGCACAACTCTGCCAATTTCTGGAGACACTTTTGCAGTTTAATCTTGATCAAAAGGAGGTGATAGGGATTTTGACAACTTGCCACCATATCCAATTCATCAAAGCAGTATGCACCCGCCATGGTCTGGGTGCACTTAGAGGGTTTTATCTGTAATACCCTTCAGAAGCGGTGGGTTGCTACATACTTTGTGAGACATACCTTCTTTTTTTTTTTTTTAAAAAAAAACAAAAAACAAACAAATATCCCACAAATATCCCACAAACCTGTGAAAAAGCAGTTGATAAGTTAAAAAAAAAAATACCAGCAATTGGAAATTGTTACTCTAAATGATAAAATTATCCATATAATGGAGTGATGAGAGCTATTGCCTTTACTAGGTTGTTTGTCTGGATCTATTATGGCTGAAATAGAAACTACTGTTAAGGCAAGCCGATCTGATGAATCAGATAAGTGAGTCACGTGGTAAAATCTTCCTCCGCAACAATTAATTTTGGTATAGTACGCGATACCATCCGTTGCATATTTTGAGCATCGGTGCCACTAGTTAATTTAAAATCTATTGGTCCTTGAAAATG